TAAACTATTCTAGCAAGTTTTAGCCCAAAATCTTCAAAGATAGCCAAGTTATTTGCAATACCTACGTCGTCCACTCCAGAAGTTTTGAGACTGGCCTCGTAAAGTCCATATGAACAGTGCTAGATACTTGTTGTTCTCACAAGTCCTTACCACAGTTGTTATAAACGTACTTGCGTAATTTTGTTTTTCTACGTTGCAAAAGACGGCAACGGTGTCACCCTGAACATGGCAAGTCGCACGCGGCTTGTCACAGTGACCAGTGTAGAGCACAGTCAGGTTGTTCATGTGAAGACAGCTTGGATGGTCGCTGTGCAATAAAATTTTGGGATTAGCTTGGCAAAAATGCCCGAGAAACATAGCAAATTGACTCTCAAGTGACTTGAGACGAAAGCTGGATGTATTTTTAACATCAGGAGACCAAGAGACAGAAGGCCCAATGAAAACACACTGACTTCTTCAGACCCAATAAAGACAGACAGCGCAGTTCCACTGGGAAGCTCAAATTAATCCCTTACTTAGAACAAAAAGGCAAAAACTTCATAACCTGGGTCCCCTACGACCAGATGGTCAACAAGGAATGATTCGTGAAGGTTCTGAGGGAGTTGAGAAAGATATTTCGCCGCAACAGGTCGGAACTCTTCAACTGTGACCAGGGGCTCCTGCACCAGGACAGCGCACACACCCACAAGTCCACCATGGAGACGAGCTATCTGACACAGATGTGCGTCAAAACCGTCCGTATCCCTTCCCACAGTCCTGATCTGGCCCCCGTGGCTTCTGGATGTTCCCCAGACTGACAGGGAAGCTCAGGGGCCGTCTTTCGTAGGATGTGGAGGAGATGAGTGAGGCTGTGACAGAGGCCCTGGGCACCTTCACTTTGAAGGTCTATCAGCAGGCCTTCAGGCAGTGACAGGAGCGCTAAAGCAGGTGCATTAGACTCGGGAGGTTCCATTTCGAGAGTCATACAAGTTTCATGCTTCTCTGAAACAGACAACTGTCTCTACTGAAAAAGTCTCAAAACTTCTGGAGTGCACCACGTATTGTCAAAATTTTACAATGATACCTATATTTTTCAAAACCATTTTCAATACGTTTTTGACATCGTACAGCAATATAAATGACACCATTGTGTTCCTGAGCTCAAATTGCATCTGATAGGCACCTTTTTGGTTGAAAAATTTCATTTTCAAAATTTGAACTTTTCTGACCTGAAATTGACCTGACCTTCGGCAAATTCAGCTGAAAATGACCTCAAATGACGCAGACGACATTATTTTAGAAATCTACGTGTAAAAGGGACCATAAAACATGCGTCACATGACCGATACATGATATGTACTTTTCGTGACCTAGGATGCCCTGGCCTTGACCTAAAAAAAAAAAATCGAAGTAAAAGTTTGGTACCCTCAGGGTACCTATCTAAGGCATATATCAAGGAGGACGTAAACCAAAAATGAGCCTGATCGGACTTGTCAGTCGACGGCCAGAGCCTAAATTGTAAAAAAGCAAAAATGTCGATAATCTTTGCTTTGACCTGACCTCTGACGTCATCGGTGACCTCGAGGTCAATGAAAATAGGTTTGGCTCGACAGCTTTTCCAGGGCTATCAGACGCCGTTTGAATTTTGACGATCGGCCCAGTAGTTTGGGAGATAGGAGAGAGGCTCTGGAGACACCCCCCCCCCCTCAGTCACTCGCTTTATGGAAAAATACCTCAGTCATGCGCGGGTTATCAATCGCTGAAGTTAAAAAGGGATCACTCAGTCGATACATCAGTCGCGAATATGAGATCTATTCCGGAGGTAAGGTCACTTAATGTGACCTGCTGATCTGATCTTGAAAGACCAGGGTCTTATTTATTTTTTTTCATAACATTACAGAGATGTAACCGAAGGTTTGTTGTCAATAGTTAAAACACTATTCTTTAGAATTGTGTTTTTCTATTGAAAAACAAATCGAGTCCCCGTACAGCCCAAATTCTTTAACGAGCTTGCAAAAGATGACTGATGTCATCACTGTCTACCGTGGAAGTCGTATGGCTGCCCATCTACGCTGGAGTATGAAAAACATCATCTCACAAATCTGAGTTCCCTGACAATTTGGCAAAAGCTGCCTGAGATCAGTACAACTTGATGCTCTTGAAAACGGCTGCTCCAAAAATTCTGATTTTTTCAGGATTACTAGTGGGCCAGGTGATCTACGTTCTGGTATGGGTCTCCCCTCCGCGGACCATCTGGTGCACGTGCCACGTGACTTTGAAAATTCCCGTGTTAAGCCAATGGGCAAAATGAAAAAAATGCGTTCCACGGCGGATTGCTCGAAAACGATCCAAACGACCCCCCATTTTCCTCCATGCAGATCAACCACCATTCGGTGCACTACCCATGGGTATGTCGCAAAGTGGCCGGAAAAGTCCAGAACCACGTGCCACGTGCCGTTGAAAATGACCCTGCACACCGGAAATTGGGACTTTTGGTCATTTCGGCGCACCCATGATGCATACTATGGCGTGGGTGACCAAACAATGGGTGTCATCCGGTCGTCCAGTGGGCCAAAATGGTAGTTTCAAACTTTTGGGATCCATCATTCTGGGGATTCTTTTTGACAATATACTTACGTTTCTTGGCGCAATGTTCATTCCACCCAGCCGGTCCTCAATGCGTTAGGTGACCCAAATGACGATTGACCTGAAGGAAGTTGGGGGCGAGGAACACGCACGTGCCATCCGTTTTTTAATCGGGCGCTTTCATCTAGGAGATTTTTGCAGATATCTTTTTGATTTGTGAAAATGACCAGCCTAGCGGTATGCCAGTCGTTGATAAATTATTATCTTGCTGCGGCCGGGCGCTTATTTGCGGTGTTTGCGTTTGGCGGCTGGCGGGCGACTTTTAGTCGTTTTCGGTTAGCAGTTAGCGTCGGTGCGGTGCGGGCGGTTTTATTTTTTTCGGCGTTTCGGCGTTTTTTTCTGTGTGGTTTGCGGCGGTCGGGCGATTTTTTTTGCCGTTTGCGTTGGCTTTTCGGGCGTGCGTTTTATTTACACGTTTTGCGGTGTTTACGTTTTGCGGCGGGCGGGCGTTTTGTGTTTTTTTGCGGTGTTTGTCTTTGGCGGCGGGCGGGCGGGCGGGCGATGCGGGCGGTTTTCTTTTTTTTTTTGCGTCGTTTGCGGTGTTAACCCTCTAATGCCCACGCATAGTTCCACGGTTCCTAAAATTAGCACCTTGTGACATATGATTCATTTAGGGTCCCTTGTTCGAAATCTGGAGTCAAATATTTTTTCGCAGTTCAAATTTCGGAAATAAATTTTGTATCAAATATGATACATTGGGCATTCCACTTGGTAATTTTTAGTGGTATCAGACCACACAGAAGGAAGTGAAGACATAGATGAGAAAATATATATTATTAAAAATTTCAGTGATAAAAGTGGCAGTTAAAATGTGTAAAATGCCAACAAGACATCCTTCACTGTGCACTTTTTATCAGAACATTTTCTTAATATTTCATTGGCATCCTTCTTGTATCAAAATGTCCTTTCAGTCGGTGCTTAGGGAACAACGCTAATCATAGGCAATAGGCATCTATTTACGAGTGCCTTCTATTCCTTCTATTTCCACGATACAGCGCAGCGCGTTGCACTTGTGCAATTTTTTCCATAATTCAGACATGTGGGCCGTGCTTCTCAAACGTAGATGCGTTATGCATACTTGATATAGAAATGAAGACATTACACTTTACAGTTGGCTCGCGGTAAGTGGTTGAAGTGAAGCAGTTCTGATGCAAAATGCTGGACAGCCTGCCGACGGACCGGGATCAATGCCAAAGACGATGCTGGTTTATCTTCACGATAGCTGAACAATCTCTGGTGACTGAAACTCTCAGCCTGTGAATCGTCAGTTCGCACTTTGACTGGTCGTGCGGTCCTGATGTCATCGGCGTTGCAGTATAACAGCCGCGCACTGACCAGTGCAGTAACGGTTGTACGTGTCAGACAACAAAGGTACAGGTAACTGCCCACCGATCGGCAGGAACTTGCACAATATTCATTGACCTCATATGGAGGTGAGCATACGCATTACGCAATGCCGCACTTTAACTTTTAAGTACAAAAGTAGTATCCATGTTTTAGTACCTATAAATCCTTTTTGTTCAGTGGCACTCAGCTACCACAGTTGGCGGCATATGTCAATATCTGTTAAAGGAAATAGTTCACTTTCACGAAATTATTTTTTTTGCAACGATTTATTATTTTTTATGTTCAAAATAATCAGCAAAGAAAATAAAACCTTTTTATAACAAAAGATTTTTTTTTCTATATTTTGATATAGGAAGAACTTTTCAGTTTCTGTAAGGCACACCCGATCCAGTATGAAAAGAGCATGGGTCCCGAAAATTCTTCAGAAACAGAGAAATTATCGCAGCCACCGGCATTTGGGCGATCTGCTCGATCTGATAATGTTCCCCTGAATGTCCTAATTGATCAGTGTTGTGTTGCCTCTTCACTGTGGCCTCGTGAGAGGCGGGCGGCCGAAAACAATCACCGGAACTGCCGGACATGTATTCTGCCGCCGCACAACAAGATACCAAAAACCCACGTGACCAACGCCTACGCCGCCATTACCGGAAGTCCACCCCGGACTTAGTAGTGGGCCGATGCCGGTGACTAAACACGAGACGAGAGGGCGGTGAGCATTCTTACAATTATAGTGCCTATCAAATAAGAAACTAAGCACGACTACAACGCGTGGGCATGAAACGTCTACATTTTACAAATCACATTGGCGCCGGTTCGGAATTTGCAATCAGCTGACACGACTTGGGTCTTCCCTAAAAATAACAAAGCAACCTCGCACAATTCTGGCGCAGCTGATACGAACACTGAACAGCGCAGCTAAATTCACGACACAACACCACCCCTCTCTTTGAGGGAAAACACACCCTATGAAAACACCCAGGCACAGGTACGGTGCTGAGCTAAACTGTACACGCGCAAACTCGCCTAACCTACGGCGAGAAACGCTTCCGCGGCCTACGCACCCTACGGCTGCGGCGCGGGGCCGCATGCTCGTCAGGGGCGGCACCGACTGGCGCCGCTGGGACAGGACTGGTACCCCTGGGCGGCTCGGGACACACATCATCGGTAGGAGCGGGGTCCACGGTCACCGGGGCTGGGTCAGTAGGCTCGGGCTCGCCCCCGACTGGGTAAAAGGTCACCGGCACCTCGCGATCAGCTTCCCCCGGGCGGCCCGGTACCAGGCGCCTGGCATGCACCCGCTCACCTGTGGCCAGCCTGTAGCTGACCGGACCGGTCCTGCGGCTCACCTGCACAGAGCGCTGCCCCTCGACCCGGCCCGTCCCGGGCTTCCGTACTCGCACCCAGTCGCCAGCTTCCCATCGCGGGGCGGCCGTGGCGGTGCGGTCATACCGGGCCCTGTAGGTCTCCTGGTACGACTGGTGATGCTGCCGGACAGCTCGATCCTCGGCAGCACGGCCGGACGGGGTCACATCGGACGGGGTCACATCGAGAATCGTCCGCGCCTCCCGCCCCCTCATCAAAACAAAGGGCGACACTCCGGTCGCCGGGTGGACCGTGACCCGGTACTCACCCAGGAACTTTCTGACAAACGTCGAGCGCGGCTCCCTCGCCAGGCGAGCCGACTGGATGGCTTCCTTAACCGTCCGGTTCAGCCGCTCGACCATGCCGTTGGTCTGCGGCGAATAGGGCGAACTAAACGTCTGTTTGACGCCCATGCGACCCAAAAACTCGGCGAGTCGGCCCGACCGGAACGCAGGGCCGTTATCTGACAGTAGCTCCAGCGGCACACCTTCGCGAGCGAACACTGTCTCCAGGAACTGGCAGATACTGTCTGCCGTCGCGTCCTGGCAGAGCGCGACCTCCGGCCACCGGCTGTACATATCGACGAGCACAATGCCGTAGCGCTCAGACGACGGACCTCTCATGGGACCGATCACGTCCACCATGAGGCGCTGCCACGGTCCATCTGGGAGTGGGATGGGCTGGAGGGGCGGCCTCTCCCTCCGCACGTGCCCATCGTGCTGAGAGCAGACCTCACAGCTCTTCAGCAGGTCACGCACCTGCCGGTCCAGGCGCGGCCACCAGAAACGCTCACGAAGCCGCTGTTTTGTGCGGACCACCCCCTGGTGGCCCGCGTGCGCGTTAGTCAGAACGCGCTCGCGCAGCGCCGCTGGCACCACCAGCCGGTCACCGCGGAGCAGCAGCTGGCCATGTACGGACAGCTCGTCCCGTACCTGAAAGAAACCAGCTGCTCGGGGGTCAACGTCCCTCTGGCGGGGCCACTGCCCGGACACGTACCCACGGACGACGCTGAGACACTCGTCGGCCGCCGAGGCGTCACTGAGCTCCTCCTCAGAGATGGCTGCTGCCACCGTCAGAGCTGCAATCTGGAGATCGTCATCATCCGGCCACCAGGTCTCGGCTACCGGCAGCCGTGACAGGCCGTCGGCCACGGTGTTCCGCTCCGAGCGGACGTACTCAACGTCGAAAGAAAACTCGAGCAGGCGGGCCTCCCACCGCGCGACACGCCGCCCGACGCGCGTGGAACCCTTGGGACCGAAAATGGTACACAGAGCCTGATGATCCGTGCGCAGAGTGAATTTCCACCCCCAGAGATAGTGGCGAAACTTCTCACAGGCCCACACCACGGCCAGCGCCTCCTTCTCCACAGTGGAGTAGTTACGCTCGGCCGGAGAGAACGACTTAGACGCGTACGCGACGACCCTGGGCGACCCCGAGGCGTCGATCTGCGTCACACACGCGCCTGCTCCGACGTCGCTGGCGTCGGTCGTCAGCACCGTGGCGAGCGCGGGGTCGAACATACCCAGCGCCGGTGACTGACGGATGGCGTCCTTGACGCGCTGGACGGCGCTGGACAGCGCCGGCGACCACTCGAACTTGTCAGCGCGCAGCGCAGCTCGCAGCGGCTCGACCAGGTCCGAGTACCGCGGCATGAAACGGGCGTGGTAGCCCGTGGCTCCCAGGAAGGCGCGGAGGCCCTTCTCGTCCTGTGGCTCTGGAGCCTCCAGCAGCGGACTGATCCGCCCTGGGTCGATCTGCACACCGGCCGCTGAGATCCTGTAACCGAGGAAATCAATGTCACGGCAGCCGGTGGCACTCTTGGACCAGTTCACTTTCACACGGTGGTCCTCCAACCGCCGCAGCACCTGCTTCAGGCGAGCGTCATGCTCCGCCTGGGACGGTGCGTGGATGATGATGTCGTCGAGGTACACCTCCACCCCGGGGATGCCCTCCAGCATCGACGTCATCACCCTCTGAAAACAAGGGCCGGCACTCGCCAGACCAAAGTTTACACGGCGGAACCGGTACAAACCCTTGTGGCTGACAAACGTGGTCAGGTTCTGGCTGTCGGGATGCAGCTCCAGCTGGTGGTACGCGTCCTTCAGGTCCAGCCTGGAGAACATCAGCGAACCACGGAGCCGATCGAGAACGTCCTCAATCCTCGGGAGAGGATGACCATCCGTGATGACCGCCTGGTTCACCCTCCTCATGTCAACGCAGAGGCGGATGGCACCGTCCCGTTTCCTGCCAACGACCAGTGGTGAGATCCAGGGAGACGCGCTCACCTTCTCAATCACGCCCTGGGCCTCCAGCTCATCAATCCGGGCACTCACTGCGTCCAGCACAGCCAAAGGCAGGCGGCGCAGTGGCTGGCGCACTGGTGGTACCCCTGGGTCAACTGTCACTCGGTGCTGGTACCCAAGGATAGCGGGTTGGGCCCCCGGAGAGGCTGGTAGCTCGTCAGGAGGGCTGGTGGGTTGGGCAGGCTCAGGAGAGGACACACAGGTGGGGTTGGTGGACACACTGCACACACGGTTGCCCACAATACAAACATCAAACACTTCCATCAGGTCAAGGCCCATCAGAGCGCGTCCTGACGGCACAACATACACTTTGACCAACTCTGTTTTCCCCCGGCATGACACATGAACACTTTTCACCCCCAGCACATTTAGCACGCTCCCCCCGTAGGCACAAAGGCTCTCCTCGGCTGCCCCGAGATCACCCTGCACAGAGTCCCTCGGCAGGATGGAAACTGGAGACCCTGAGTCCACAGTGAAAGTTACCTTGAGCCCCTCTACCTCAGCATCAAGGGTCAGCGGCACGGCACTAGCCCCAACAGCTAGCACCTGGACACTAGAAACCACACTAGCACCGCAGTGCTGGGCAAAGTGGTTGGTCTTACCGCACTTGGAGCACTTCCTACCGAACGCTGGGCAGCTGCGGTCACCTCTGCGATGTCCAGGGCGCCCGCAGCCCCAGCACTCAGGGCCTGCTGTCTGCTGCTGTGGTTGCTGCCGTCTCGGCTGCTGCTGCCTCCCCTGCGGAAGCTGCTGCCGTCCTTCCTGCTGCTGGGCTGGGACCGGGCCGAAGCGTCGGCGTCTGGACCCCCCTCGCTGAAACTTCTGTGGCTGCAGGGCCTGGACAGGCACAGGCACGGCTGGTCCCTCGATCACCCTTGCTTCTCGTTCAGCAGACTCCAAGGTGTCGGCCAGAGTCAGGGTCTTCTCCAGAGTCAGACCTGACCCTTCCATGAGAAGCCGCTGCCTCAGCTTGGAGCTCACGGTCTTCTCAATCACCTGGTCCCTGATAAACTCGTCCATCTGGGCACCGTACTCACACGTGCTGGCCAACTGGCGCAGCACGGAGACCCACTGGCTGGTGGTCTCACCTGGTTGCTGCCCCCGGCTGCGAAAGCGGTAGCGCTCAACACAAACATTCTGTTTGGGAGCGAAATGGGCCTCGAGGCGGCGCAGGCACCATTGGAAGTCGTCCTCGCTTTCCAGCTTCTCCATGGGTGGCAGATTCTCAAACACCCGCTGCCCCTCCGTCCCTAGACAAGTCAGGAGGACAGCTTGGCGACGTGCGGGAGGGAAAGCGTCACCTCCGACCGCACACAAAAAGTTCTCAAACATCCTGACCCACCGAGGCCAGGGAATCGCCGGCTCAGCTCCAGCGGTGGGCAAAAACGGCGCGGGAGCCGCCGCGAAATCCATGGTGAAAAATCACTGTTCGAAGTCCTCAGTCGCCACTTTGTTGTGTTGCCTCTTCACTGTGGCCTCGTGAGAGGCGGGCGGCCGAAAACAATCACCGGAACTGCCGGACATGTATTCTGCCGCCGCACAACAAGATACCAAAAACCCACGTGACCAACGCCTACGCCGCCATTACCGGAAGTCCACCCCGGACTTAGTAGTGGGCCGATGCCGGTGACTAAACACGAGACGAGAGGGCGGTGAGCATTCTTACAATTATAGTGCCTATCAAATAAGAAACTAAGCACGACTACAACGCGTGGGCATGAAACGTCTACATTTTACAAATCACATTGGCGCCGGTTCGGAATTTGCAATCAGCTGACACGACTTGGGTCTTCCCTAAAAATAACAAAGCAACCTCGCACAATTCTGGCGCAGCTGATACGAACACTGAACAGCGCAGCTAAATTCACGACACAACAATCAGTACGAGAATTTCTCTAGAGTTCTCGTAGATAATTTCTCTAGTTTCTGAAGAATTTTCGGGACCCATGCTCTTTTCATACTGGATGGAAATATATGCAAGGCACACATCTATAGTATCGCAGCTAATTAGTGCCTACTGTTGTGTTGCAGCTAATTAGTGCTTACGTCACAAGCTTTCGCTTGTTGTGTTTTCAGATCTGTCCTTGCACAAAGTTGTTGTTGTTTACCACGTGGCCATGCCGTGAACTACATAAGCCCAGTGTCTAAAGCCTAGACAAATACAGACGTGGATGCAACAATATTGGCGACGAGGCAACTTTAAGTTCAAGCTCTAAAATACATTGAGCCTCTGCTACTCAGTCGAAAAAGCCCCGCGCAGCGATGGCCTCGCCCGCGCTGGAATTGCCGCAATTCGACGTATCTCGCCCTGACGAGTGGCCAGGATGGCTCCGTAGGTTGGAAAATATGTGTCTGGCGATGGATGTGTCAAATCCAGTCAGAAAAAAGGCATACCTCCTGCATTTTGCTGGTCCAGCAGTCTTTGACTTGCACGAATCCCTGCCTATGCCTCAGGCCGCAGAGCCCACCGATCAGGGGGACCCAGCAGCAGCCCAAGAGCAGAGGCAGCTGGATCCATATCAACTGATATGCAAACAACTCAGTGACTATTTCGTGCCACAGAAAAACGTTGACTACGAATGCGATGTTTTTCGCCAAGCCGTGCAGGGAGAAGGTGAGTCAATTGACAGCTTTGTCTCACGCCTGCGACATTTGGCCAGGAGCTGTGAATTCACGGATCTTGCTCGTGAAATCCGCCAGCAGCTGATTGCAGGAGTCAGAGACCCCAGGGTAAGGGAGAAAGCCCTGCAGCAGAGAATGACCCTGGAAAACTTGCATTCGTTTGCAAGGGGCCTGGAACAGGCAAGAGCACAGGCCCGTGCCATGGAGGCACACCATCAAAGCCGGTTCACCAGTCTGCCTCCTGTAAAAGCCCAGAACATGGTAGAAAGCAAAAGAAACCTCACTGGCAAGCCCCGTGTCCAAGAGACAAAAGAAAGATGTTCAAGATGTCACAGCCCAAAACACCACCACTGGGAATGTCCATTCAAGAACGAGACCTGCTACCACTGTGGTCGGCAGGGCCACACAAAGGTGGCCTGCCGTAACAAGGAGCCACAGGCTACGCCAAGGAAGAATCCCAGTCATGGTCGGCATGGCAAAGTCAAATGCATGAGCCAACAACAGGACTTGAGTCAAACTCAGCAAGACAGCCCAACTGATGAGTACGTCATGCAAATCCGCCTGCCTGTGAACAAGACAGAAGTCAGAGAAAATGAACCACTTGTCACAGCAGTGAACTTGGACGACAGAACAGTCCAGATGGAAGTGGACACAGGAGCAGCAGTCACAGTGATGTCAGAACAGCTGTTCCACAAGCTGTGGCCAACAAGAAAACTCGACAAGTCCAGCCAACGACTAAAGACCTTCACTGGAGAGCCCATTCCAGTTGTTGGTCAAGTCGATGTGAAGGTGCTCGCTCAAGATGAAGTAGTGCACCTGCCACTCCTGGTGGTGGGAGGTGAAGGCAAGCCCCTGCTAGGTCGCAATTGGCTGTCAAAGGTGCGACTGAACTGGCAGGCCATCTTCCAGGTGAAAGCCTCACTGGAAGAAAAAGCGCAAGAGCTCCTGAAAAAGTTCCCAAACCTGACGAAGCCAGAACTTGGAAAAGCAAATACTGAAGCTCATCTGGAGATAAATCCCGACATAAAACCAGTATTCTGCAAGCCCAGGTCAGTTCCACTAGCTCTGCGTCCGCTGGTAGAAGAGGAGCTCGACCGTCAGATCAAGGCGGGAATCTTGAAGCCCTGCAAGTCGGCGCAGTGGGCAGCGCCCCTGGTGACCATCCTGAAACCAGATGGCAAGTCAGTACGGCTGTGTGGGAGTTATAACCTCACGGTTAACAGAGCCAGTCATCTGGAGCAGTACCCATTACCGAAAGTGGACGAGCTCTTGACCCAGCTATCTGGAGGTGAGAAGTTCTCGCTAATAGATCTGGAACAAGCCTACCTGCAGATCCCGCTGTCCGAGTCTAGCCAGAAATACACAGCAGTGAACACACACAAAGGACTCTTCTCGGCAACCAGATTGGTATATGGAATCAGCAGTGGTCCTGCCATATTCCAGCGCCACATCGAAACTCTGTTGGCCGGAATCCCGAACACCACGGTGTTCCTCGACGACATCTGCGTCACAGGCCCCAACGATGCTGCACATCTGGCCAACCTGGAGGAAGTGCTAAAACGCCTGGACCGAGAAAACCTGAGAATCAATGCAAAGAAGTGTCGTTGGTTCCTGCCGGAAGTCTCCTACCTCGGACTGAGAATCGACAAAGAAGGTCTGCATCCAACAGATCAGAAGATCGCAGCCGTGAGAGACGCCCCAGCACCTGAAAACGTCGGACAGCTGAGGACGTATCTCGGTCTCATCAACCACTTCAGTCGCTTCTGCCCGAAGCTGAGTGCAGTCGCGGCCCCACTGTATGCCCTGTTGAAAAAAGATGCAGAGTGGCGGTGGCGAACGGCTGAGGAGAACGCCTTCAACGCCACGAAGACACTCCTCTGTGAGGCACCATGCCTCGCTCACTTCGACGGAACAGCCCCCGTCATCGTCTCAGCAGACGCCAGCTCATACGGCCTGGGCGCCGTCCTCTCACAAATGACTCCAAGTGGAGAACGCCCAGTCGCCTTCGCTTCCCGCACACTCAATGAAGCAGAGAAGAAGTACAGTCAGCTCGACCGGGAAGGTCTCGCCCTGGTGTTCGCGGTGAAGCGATTCCACAGCTTCCTCTACGGTCGATCGTTCACGCTGAGAACGGATCACAAGCCTCTACTGGGACTGCTTGGCAAGACCAAAAACCTGCCAGACGCTGTTCCGCCCCGCATGGTGAGATGGAAGGTGACTCTGGATGCCTACCAGTACCATCTCGAGCACACGCCTGGCAACGCAGCTCAACATGCCGCAGCAGACGCTCTCAGCCGTCTCCCAAGACCGGAAACTGTGCCAGAAACGTCAGTGACACCGCTCATGGAAGTCATCCACATGCTCGAAGCTGACGATGCCCTGGTAACAGTTGAAGCAGTTCGAGAGTGGACGCGACGAGACCCGACTCTCTCAGAAGTGCTCCACTACACCCGGTATGGATGGCCCAAGGCTTCAGCTGTAACGCCAGCCCTCCTGCCGTACCACGGTCGCCAAACCGAGCTGAGCATACAAAACGAGTGTTTGCTCTGGGGATGTCGTGTCGTTGTACCCCCCGCATGCCGTCAGAAGGTCCTGAGACTGCTCCATGAAGGACATCCCGGCATCTGCACCATGAAGCGCCGAGCCCGTGGCCAGATCTGGTGGCCCGGAATGGATACAGACATTGGAGATGTGACCAAAGTCTGTGATGCCTGCCAGCTGAATCAACCAGCTGCGCCGAAGGTGGCATCCCAACCATGGCAGTACCCAGACGCTCCGTGGCAGCGAGTCCACGTGGACTATGCTGGTCCTGTAGAAGGGAAGATGCTCCTCATCATAGTAGACGCATACAGCAAGTGGCCTGACGTCTGGATCACCAACAACGTCAGCGCTCAAACAACCATCGATCATCTCCGCATGACGTTTGCCACGCACGGTCTTCCAGAAGTGATCGTGAGTGACAACGATGGCTGCTTCACCAGCAAGGAGTTCGGCGAGTTCATGAGCGCCAATCAGATCCGCCACGTCTTCACTCCACCGCTGCACCCGGCATCAAATGGCCAAGCCGAGAGCATGGTCAAGCTGGTGAAGAACGGCATCAAGAAGCAGAAACCAGCACCGCTGCTCACGAAGCTCCAAAGATGGCTGTTCCAGTACAGGAACACACCGCACACGACAACAGGGAAAGCTCCGGCCGAGATGCTTTTCCGTCGTGCTCCTCGGACGCATCTCAACCGGCTGCATCCGTTGGAGGAAAGGAGAAGCCGCAGTAGTGTCGAAACGGGCACTGTCATCCGAGCCTTCCGAACTGGAGATCCAGTCTACATCACTGAAGTAACAGCCTCCGAGTACAGATGGCTCCCAGGCACGGTTCTCGAGACATGCGGACCGACCTGTACGGTTCTTCTCCAAGATGGCCGCAAGTTCCGCCGACATGTGGATCACATCCGGCCGCGATACACGTCTGGTGATACCGGACTGTTCAGGGAGGAAGGACGTTCTCAAAGCGACTACCGCTTCCAGCCGCCTGCAGCTGAGCCCGGACCTGCAGCGCCCCGATCAGCGCCTGTCACTCTGCCAGAAACGCTTCCGGCTCAACCGGCAGCGCCTCCAGCGTCATCAACTACAGCACAGCCAGTGACGCTTCCTCCGGCCGCTGAGCCAGAGATCGCTCCGGCGCCCGCGAGCGGACACCAGCTCGCTGGACTACCCAGCCCCGTGGCGAACTCTCGTCCGGCGCGTAACCGGCGTCCACCCGATCGCCTGAACTTGTAAGCGCTGGAAACAGCTGGAAGGGAGGTGTTATAGTATCGCAGCTAATTAGTGCCTACTGTTGTGTTGCAGCTAATTAGTGCTTACGTCACAAGCTTTCGCTTGTTGTGTTTTCAGATCTGTCCTTGCAAAAGTTGTTGTTGTTTACCACGTGGCCATGCCGTGAACTACATAAGCCCAGTGTCTAAAGCCTAGACAAATACAGACGTGGATGCAACAACATCCTCAACGCAAGACACCTTTTTCGGGACGGTAAATAGAATATCTTTGCCTAGGGTGATCGTTGGGCTGTAAAAGCTCCTGATTTATGCTCGTCTCAGCCCAAGCTACGGAACTGCTATTCCAGTTCAAAACCCATGTTAAAAAGTGAACTATTTCCTTTAACAAATGACATACCTGGCAGTGAAAATGCTTGCCAGGTATCAGGCACCTGCTGTAACCTGGCAGCAGTGCATGGTTGCCTACTTCTTAGATAGAAAATCAAAGGAACCGCGCCCTAGCTACGGTCCGGAGTCTGTCTTCATGGCGAGCCCGTTTAGCCAGCTTCCTCTGAAGATGACGATATAGTTTTCCACTCCACATTCAATCTCTTAATACTGGGATGAACGGAGGAGATTTGAATCGCAAACAAATTGTGAGTCGTTCTCCAATATGAATGCTGGCTGGCTGCTAATGCAAGTCTTCAGCCATGCCCAGCTAACACATAGACCCACAAGACATAAATAAGCCCGTCCATAACCCCTGTTGGAATAGGTATCGAAATTGTGCATGAGACCGCTGAATCCTCCTGTCCCTAACATCAAGTCTCAATTTTTGGTTTCGCGAGTATAAATGCTCGCACGGATGATCGTTCCTTGAAATCAACAAGCTTGTCATCGATAGCATGTCATTCCTAACGTGGTTTTAGAAGATATGGTCTGCTAGTGTCCTGCAGATCAAAAAGTTCACTATTGTCATCGTCAAACAGTTGCAAAACCATATTCCTATGAGCGTTAGAAAAGTCGAGATGTATGAGGCATGTAAGGCCACTCATAGAAAGCTAGATGTTGGAAGATTGACAAGGATGAGAGGCGGCATAAGCGTACCAATATCGTTATGACATTTTAAGTCTGGAGCGAAATAGAGTTATCTGGCGCAAGAGGTGCGAACTTCACAAATTTATGCATCTTGTACCATCGTCATTTGCAATGACTCACAGGCCATTGCAATGCTTATCACCTGAGAAAACTATGGTATTGGCACACCGTATGTTGCAGCGGCGAAAATTTCATAGAAAATATTGGAGTGCTATGCCCACTGTATCATATCTAGTATCCCCAAAAATAGGGGTCCATATCTTCGACCCTGAAAAAGTTGCGATGTTTTGCAACATACTATGATATATATTGAACATTTGTCTCACAGTATACCAAGTTTCTTTCCAAATGACTGATTTTTTGTTTTCTAAATGCTTAAATTTACACTTGCATCTCAAATTGATTTTCGGCAAAGGACAAACTGACCCTCTTCAAAATCACCTGGTGGGAAACTGAGAAATCATTACTTAAAAATTTTGCCTCCAGGTGGTCGCCAAGACGTACCACTTCTGATACAGCAGGGTTTTCAACAATTTTCACTTCTATGATTAGCAGGCGAATTTTCTGCAAATTGACTTACAGATATGATACCGGGGGCACTAGAGGGTTAAATTTGTTTGCGGTTGGCGGCCGCTTTTTCGTTTTTTGCGGTGTTTTTTTTTTTTTTTTGGCGGCGGGCGGGCGATTTTTAGGCGTTTTCGGTTGGCGGTTAGCGGGCGTGCGATGCGGGCGGTTTTATTATTTTGCGGCGTTTTTGCGTTTTTTTATTTGCGGTTTGCGGCAGGCGGGCGTTTGTTTATTTTTTGCGACCTTTGCGTTGGCGTTTCGGGCGTGCGTTTTGCGCGTTTTGCGGTGTTTGTGTTTTGCGGCGGGCGGGCGTTTTTCACAATTCAAAGTCCAAACCTTCGGGCCACAGCGCTCCTCGAAAAGCGCTGCCCTCGAGTAGGTATGCTAAGTTGTGCGACCGACCAGTGGCCTCATACAAGAAAACCTAATACCTAAAATTTTGGATAGGTATTCGAGACTCCACTATCTATAACATGCATAACTTTGATCGCCCTGAAAAACCTGGCGCTGAGGGGCTAACGAAGATGCGACTACAAGACCGTGCAGACCGCAGAGGTTCACTTATGGCGCTAAAGGTCAGTGACTTGACCTGAATTGAACATTTGGCTTATGTCAAGATCTGACTTGAACAAAAATAAGTTTTGCTAACATTTAGCTGCGCAAATCCGAGTAGTCGCAAGAAATCCGTCATGCAACAGTGTAGCACAAACCCACTCCCAACCCTTACTCCTGGGGGGGGGGGGGGGGGGTCGAAATGAGCGAGCACATACTCGTATTTGCATTATTCTGCTAGTGATCTTTCAGCTAATTAATCAGTCATCGTTTGACGTAACGAGGAATCGCACCGTTCCCCTAAAAGGGGGTTTGGAAGTTGCCATCTTTATTTACTTTACAACAAATCAACCACATATGCATACAAATACGAGGCACACTATTCCATGCAATGCACAATGCACAGCTGCGCAGGATTCGCTGTATATGCAGTATGCGTCTTATGGCATGAACGGAACGAATGACAACATGATCACAAACTGAGTACTTTGAATGCAGGAAGACAATGAGCGATTGTGCAGCGCCGCTGTCCCAAATGCCACCGTTTGCGTGGACTCAGCCCTGTTTTAGACCACATGCACGAGCCTGAGTGTATGGACGGAGTGTCACACCTGTGAGTGGGGGGGGGGGATCTAGGGGGGGGGCGGCAGCCGGCTTCAGGCAGGCCAGTCTCGGTGGGAGAGGGATGGAAGACGGCCACGCTTTGCCACGGCTCGCCTCGCTGCTGGAGGAACGGCAATATCCCAACCCCAGTCACCAGCTACCCGAGAACGCTACACCTCATCGATAAATCACTTCACAAAACACAACACTGCGCGGCCGCGATCGGCCGGCGAGGCTCACCGCACCGCGGGAGCCGCGGCATGGCGCCGTCCGTCCGACTTTGCACTGGCGATTTGAGCTGGGGCTGCCGAGGGCCGCGTTGCTGACGCGCCCTCGGCTGAGTCGCCTGCGGCCGCCGCCGGGCCGAGCGCGCTCGCTCGCTGACCGGCCGGCTCGTGCCAGGTCTGTGGCCGGCCCGGCCCGGACGGCCGCAGCAGCCGGTCGTTGAACAGGGCGGCGATCAGAGGCAGCTCCAGCTGCTGGCTGGTGGCGCGCAGACTGCTCAGGTCCAGCTCTCCCTCCGCCGGCGCCGCGGCCTGAGGCCGGCGAGCTGCCTGCTGGGCGGCGGGCTGGCTCTGCTGCACTTGTTGACCCTGCTGCTGTCTCAGCAGCAGCAGCTGTTGCTGCTGTTGCTGCTGCTGCTGTTGCTGCAGCAGCAGCTGTTGTTGTTGCTGCTGCTGCTGCTGCTGCCGCTGTGCCTGCAGCAGCAGCCGGCGCTGCTGCTGGGTGGCCAATGGCGTCACCCTGGCCTGGGTTCTGGGGTTCGGCAGGGTCGCTGATGACGTCTGTCCCAGATTCGCCGTCGTGACTGCGGGAGCGGCAGCCGGCGGCTGCGGCTGCGGCTGCGGCTGACGGGCGGTTGCCTGAGTGCGCTGCTGCAGATGGCGCCGGATCAGCTGCTGGTGCTTCAGCAGCGTTTCCTTGTTCGCAGCATCTGCCTGCAGCAGCTGTCTCTGCTGTTGTTGTCGTTGCTGCTGCTGCTGCTGCTGCTGCTGCTGTTGCTGCTGTTGCTGCAGCTGCTGTTTCTGTTGTTGGTGCTGCTGCTGCTGCTGCTGTAGCTTCTGCTGATACTGCTGTATTTGTAACTGCTGCTGCTGCTGCTGTAGCAGTAATCGCTCCTGGAGAAGCCGCCGCCGCTGCTGCTGCTGCTCATCTTGTTGATGCAACTGTCGCTGCAGCATAGCCTGACTGGGCAGTGTCCGGGACACGCTCAGCTGCTCACTGGGCAGTGTCCGGGACACGCTCAGCTGCTCACTGGGCAGTGTCCGGGACATGCTCAGCTGCTCACTGGGCAGTGTCCGGGACACGCTCAGCTGCTCACTGGGCAGTGTTCTGGACACGCTGGGATGTTCGCTGGGCAGTGTCCGGGACACGCTCAGCTGCTCACTGGGCAGTGTTCTGGACACGCTCAGCTGCTCACTGGGCAGTGTTCTGGACACGCTTGGATGTTCGCTGGGCAGAGTCCTGGCCTGCAAGAACACATACTGTTTGTCAAATACCTAAACATATCCGTCATCTGACTACGTTAAAAATCACTCAGTACAAAACTAGCATATAAAACTACATACAGATATGTCTATCTGACAAAGATCAAGACACAATCACCGGTATCACTTTTCTTTAAAAAAAAAACAGGGGTGGAGATCTCGGGGAGGGGGGTCGGGGGGGGGGTCAGGACCCCCCTGAAAACGAATTACTGCTATGTAAGTCAATGGTACTACATCCAGCCCGCCTCCATCTGCCCGGCCTGGACCCCCCTGACATTTTGACAGATCTCCACCTGTGTTCAAAAATAAGTAAATAAACAAAAGATATAAATAGTTCGAATGTATCTCACCTGAGACGAGTAGGGAGGCGGCGGCCGGCCGTTGAGGGTGCATGTGGCCAGGAAGTCGGCTGAAGCGGCCAGCAACAGGTTGTCGTCAGAGTGTGCGCGTGTAACAGCTGAGCTGTGGGAGGGCCGCGGCGCCAGCGCGCGGTACACATCCACCTCCGAGTAGGGCTCCCAGCTGCCCGAGCGGCTGATGGTGGAGGCCAGTGAGTGGCTGCTGAGGCGGCCGCGCAGGCTGCCCAGACCCTCCGAGTACAGCGAGCTGTACAGGCTGGAGGCGCTGGAACCGGCCTGGCTGCCGTACAGGCCGCTCTGGCTGCCATACAGACCGCTCTGACTGCCGTACAGACCACTCTGACTGCCGTACAGACTGGCCAGACCGCCGGTCTGCGCTCCGGCGCGGGGCGCGCGGTACGGCGGCGGCGGCGGCAGTGGCAGGCTGGCCGCCAGGCTGCTGCAGTCCTTGGCGTCCATGTACTCCTGACGGCTGATGTCAGGGTCCTTGAGCGGATAGATGACGTAGTCGGCGTCCGAGAGAAGCTGACGCTCGAACTGCTCGATGGGTGCCGACGAGGCGCGCTCCAGACCGGCGCCGGTTAGGTTAGCGTACAGCTGGCCAGCCTCCAGAGCTACTGTTGAGCCGAGGTTGGCGTACAGTCGACCTGCCCCGGTCAGCTGCGGCTGGGAGGCACGCACGTCCAGATAGTTATTACCTCTGATGACTGGCAAGAGCGGCGCTGGTGGCAGATCCTGGCCCTCCGGCGCACCCGCGTGTACCGGTTTGGGTTTGGGGAGAGTCGCCGACGCCGGCGCGGCGCCCACGAAGCGCGGCACAGTCCTCAGGCGGACCGGTCGCACCGTCGGCGCCGCGAAACTCGGGCTCTGTCGGACGGCGGTCGCGACGTGCGCGCGGAACACGGTCACCAGAGGTCGGGTGGTGATGAAGCGAGCCGGTGCCTCAGACGAGGGCGCCGCTGACGCCGCTGGGACGGACACCACTCGCACAGCGTCCGGTACTGGAGCCGGCGCCGGCGCCGCGGGCTGAGCAGGCGCCGGCGCCGGCGGCGGGGGCGGCTCAGTGGCCTCTGTGGCCTGGCACGACTGCGCCAGACCCACGCGAGTCACTGTGGTCACCGTGGCCATGGCCACGGCGGTGGGAGCGACCACCTCGGCCACCATCTGACCAAGACGGTCGAACGGCACCTGCACGTAGTCGCTGTCTGTATCGAACGTGTTGGAGACGGTGGTACGTCGCGGGAACGTGCCGGGAGTGGTCACCACAGAGCCCGCCGATGTGTGCGCCGAGTTCGCGCTGTAGTCGACAGTGCCCGCCTGACTGCTTGAGTTGGACGTGGCCGATGCACCGCTACGAACGCTAACGTTATCAGCATCAACGTCGTCCTCTTCATCATCACCGCCGGCAGCGGCTCCGCTGTCCTCCGCCGCCGTCGCCGCCTTGTAGAAGTCCGCGTAGTCCTCCGATCCGTTGTAGACGGAGGCGGACTCGGCCGTCAGCGAGGCCGTCTCGTCACCGTCGTCGAGGGCTCGCGTCGAGTCGGCCGTGCTGGCGGCGCTGACCCCGCTCGCCATGCTGCTCTGCGAGAGGTGCTGCAGGCTGAGACTCTCCGACACCGCCGAGCCGGAGGCCGCGTGACGTGGCGAGTCGCCCTGGCGCGCGTACAGGGTGCTGCCGGAGGTTATACTGGCTCCGTCGCTGCCACCACCACCGCAGGTGCATCTCTGCTCCGTCTTGCCGGTCTTTCGACGCGTTTTGCAGGCGGCACAGGGACTGTCGGCTTCCTCACTGCACACGGACACGTTGTCCTCCTCGACACAGGTACTGCAGCAGTTAGTCGGCGAGGAGAACATGTGTTTCTGAGTGTGCTCACAGCCGGCCGGTGGCTGGCCACTCGGTGGTGCTGGTGGCTTCACCGGCGGGAAGCGCGAGCGCACTGCGCCGGCCGGGTGCAGGGGGCCTGAGCTGCGCACGCTACCTCCATGACTGACACCCTGCTGGGGCTGGTCGGCCGCTGCCGCCGCGACCGGCACCGAGGCGGCCGGTCGGAGTCCGACCGAGCCGCTCTCCGTGGGACACCGCGGCGCAGGAATCGGGTCCTCTTCGTGTCCTGAAACAGGCGAGACAACGTGAGGAGACAACACCCACGACACATGGAACGGACGCTAGCTTAATTACAAAAACGCAAAATCGATCAAGCATTGTGTACGAAATGAAGCTAGACATTCGCCTATGTGACCTGACCGCGGTGCCCTACCTGCCGGTGACCTCTGCGAGGAGCGGAGGGATCCGGAGCCCAGCTGGGACCGTGACCGTGTCAGGGAGTCCACGCCACTCTCCACCGACTCTGCCGGCTGCGTCCTGGCCAGGCCCTCGACGTGGAGCTCATCTGAAAATAGTTACACGGACGTTGGTCAGCTAATTAAAGTCCGTCACCAGAGTTCGTCGCAAGTGCACCACTAGAGGGCGCTGGGACTTTACCACCAGCGAAGCGCGACTCTGCCACCAGAGGGCGACGGGGCTCCCTCAACAGAGGGAGAAACCAGAAGGCAGCGCTACCTACATTTATATCCAACGGCAGTTACAGACTGTCACCAGAGTGCGCTTCAATCTACCAATGCACAGACGTGGAGGTGATGAAATGCAACAGACGCGGGTCATTGTCGTTGAGAAGATGTTGCACCCGAGCATATTACAGCTGGACAGTTACGACAGCTAACGATTCATTAACAGCAACAAGTCGTTATTCGGAATCTATCAGCAGACTGAACGTAGCACCATCAACATCAGGGTGGACGAGATCCACAGTGTAACCACGAGCGCTGCATGGACACCTTACCAGCTGACAGGGTAACATTCACCGTCACTCTAGTCACTCACCTACACTCCCGATCATCAAGTATCACTCTGGTCACTCATCGTCACCCTCTGGTCACTCACCCGGTCACTCGGTCACTCTGGTCACTCTGGTCACTCTGGTCACTCATCACCAACAAGTTCCCTGGTCACTCACCGCACTCTCTGGTCACTCATCAGCACTCTGGTCACTCACCGTCACTCTCGTCCAGACTGTGGGCGGTGCGGTCGGAGACGATGCCGGATGTGGTGTTGGACGACGTGTTGGAGATGACCGAGGTGCGCGGGTCGGTCGAGCTGCCCTGCTTGTTCAGGTACTCCCAGCCGGCGCACATACTCGGCGGAAAGTGCTGCGAACTGCCCGTGCTCCTTCTCTCTGTCGGACACACACACATACTCGGTTATAACAAAAAGCTAAATAAACCGTCGCACAGACATACTGGGACATACCAACAGTTATGCCTAATGACTCACATGAAGTCGGGTTACGGCCATCACCTTAGTCATTCATTCCTTCAGTGTATCATCCAGCAGTTGGCTTGTAATTTCTTCCTATTACCGAATAGCTCCTTAAATGGGTAATTTGTTATGTATCATACATAATCTTGCTATGTGTAGGAAGGTATGCGTGTGTTGAAAGTATGCAGTGTGATTAATACTATTCTTTGCACGATATCACATAGCCATTATTTCACTGTCACTCACCTTCGTAGGAGTTTTGTTTGATTTCGGCCAGTCGTTCTTTGAGCGTCTGCGTGAACATGTGAACGTCCTTGCACAACAGGAACAGGTGCTTAGCCTTCTCGTCATCACCCGTGTAGAAGGTGAACTTCTGGGTAAGGGCGCTGATCTCGAACTTCTTTTTCTGAAAAGGGTAAACACGTGATAAATGACGCGTGCAATGTTAATGCACTTGCATCAGGGCAAACTAATGTGCTCGATGATTTAAGGCAGACGGACACTGCACAAGCCATACCTATTTAGGAAAATATGGGTACCTATTGGCATCACGTAGGTATATGTATGTACCAATATATCCGCAACATTATAAACAAACACAATGTCTACGACGATAACAAAACCAATACAAGCTTCCGTTTAACTTCAATGCGGAGAGCTGAAGGAAAGAGGGCTATATTAGTTTCTATTGTATTTTATATCGGGATTCCGGGAGTCTTGTTGGTTTCAAGGATGGAGCAAACGGCCAACGTCCCCTTTCTTCAAAAAATAGTGCTACGGAGCAAACAATGTAATAGGTACTATCAGGATACCAAGGAATTCTTGCGGGCATGCGATTGTTCCTGACCTATGCAAATGTATTCAGCATTCACTTCGATACAATTCAAAGCACGACTTTCACCGTAGGCTGACTGAAAATGAGTCCGATCTATGCTGGCATCAATATATTTTATTCATCAAATTCGGACTGTTGTATCTGACTGGAAAAGGATGCATGCTACTAAACTTAACGATGCATGTCAGTATGTTACGCCATTGCAGCTCTTCGAGACTGGAAGTTTATTAGCAAATTCAACAGGTGGCATAGCTTACAAATGACTTGGTATGGTTTTGTAATGATCTATTTGTGGTTTCATGGAATTCGAGCAGCTTTTCTAACCATGGATGTCTTTGATATCCTCCAATCGATCATATTATCCGGTTTTCATTTGGTGGCATTATTGAGGCGCATCCGTTCGTACCACTGTTGAACTCCTGTCTTTGGGTGCGGCCCAGTCGCTGGGATGGCTGTGGTAGTAATTGTGCTACCTCCCGGTCGTCTCATCCACCGTCTCTGCAGCCGACCGGTCGTCGGGCTGCGCCCGGGCCGGGCCGGGGCGCGGCGCCCAGCCCGAACCCGTGCTGCGTCACATTACCCGAGACGTCTCCTCCGGCCAGGCCATGAATAGCCGCTCAGGCCTCAAGGTTAGCTGCCTGCCGTCCGGTCGACAAAGCACTGACGCTGGCGGGCCGACCGGCGCCAGCCGCAGCTGCCACTGCTGCCACTGCTGCTGGTGCCAGTGTGGATTATCCTAACATACTCCCTGTGTAACGTGTCCCTACCACTGCTGCCGTTGGTCGTGCTGTCACTACCACTTCCACTTCTCCGTCATTTCGTTCTTCAGAAAGATGCATTTTGACTGTCTATTTTCCCACAGATATATCCGATCCGTGTTTTTCGTTAGCACCTCTTAATACCGTCATTACAGTCTCATTCCCGCGTGGTGCCGCTGTATTCCTCCTCGGTACCTGTCGGCTCTGCCCTCCCCGACTCCGGACGCGGTCCCGGAGGCGGGGACCGGCGTGTAACGCGGCCGGCGCGGCGCTGAGAGGTGAACAATGCGGCCTGCGGCGTGCTGACGGACCCGAGAGACGCCGATGGGACGCCGATGGGACACCGATGGGACGCCGATGGGAGGGCGATGGGAGACTGATAGCCCCAGAGGACTGATCCCTCCAGAGATGACGGCCCGCCGTGGTCTGCTCTTTGGGACAGAAGGGTTGGCGAGAGGCAGTGCAGAGAGGAATGTCTGCGGCTGGAATGGATCGAGACACGCAGCGGCGATGCTGACGAGTTGGTCCTCATTGCCCTTTACAGAGGACGGCGTAAGTGTTCAGCGATAGTTCGGGTGCTTGATATGAGAGCGCTTCTCCCGACTGCCGGATCCTGTCTAATCCGCAGCCAGCAGCCGGCGCTCGCCGGTCTGAGCTGGCGCGGCCCTGACGTCGGCTGCTGCGGCGCTGACCGGCCGGCCGGGCCGAGGGGAGGGAGGGAGGAGGGGAGGTCGGGAGGAGGGGAGGCCGGCGCCCCCGGCAGCGGGCAGCATCCAGCGGCCGGCCGACGGACCTGCCCCACAGCGATCCGGCATTCCACGCCACTTTACGTGCACAGCAGCCGGCCGAGCGGCGGCCGGCCGGCCGGCCTGACGTCGGCTCATATTTTACCCACGCCGTCCGCCGTTTGCAAGTATAACGCGGTGCCGGCGGCTGAATGTGGCGGTCCGCCGAGCCGGCAGCTGGGCAGAGCTGTGCTCGGCAACGTCCGCCGAGGTCCCACGGCTGCCGACTCACGGGAACACGGCCACGTGGCGAGTGGATGTCGACCGGGGCGGCCAGCGACACGGGTACTACCGGGCGACACGGGTACTACCGAGCGACACGGGTACTACCGGGCGACACGGGTACTACCGGGCGACACGGGTACTACCGGGCGACGGAGTCAGTGCGCTGACAAACGGGCCCCTCGAGCAAAGGAGTCCGTGGTATTTACGAGCGATCCCGAGCAGCCGAGGAGGCTTGTAGTGCTTGGGTCCTTTTAAATAATTATAGAGGTAAGAGGTAAGAGTCTAATCAAGAAAAATTGTGTTGGTTGAAACGCACGCAACCGAACCCTTCTCGGAAAAGAAGAGTGGTTGCAGTGATAAACGCATTGTGGTAGATTGCTTAAACTTATTTTTAATTGTTATACTCAACTATGCCGTGCTTATAGATTATCGATGTTTTGTTCAACATCCTGACAAACAAATGTAAGTCAGGAAACTTCGACAACTGCTGGTGGAATTTGTTGTCAGTTGTCACAAGCTAGCACAACCAACAGCGACTGTCTACAGCGGGCAGATCAAAGAATGGCGGCGCCTTACCTCAAACGTCAGGTTGTTGATGTTGGTCCACACGAATGACGCCAGCAGTTTGCGAGACAAATTCTTCTCCTGAAAGGAAATTCAATCACCAGGTTATGAAATGCAGCAGCACAGAGTGTAACCCATTCCTGCACAGCATACATTTGGTCTAAACACATGATCTGGTAACCCTAACCGGACCACCTCATCACTGGTCACCTGGTGCATAAAATGCTGGGGCCACGACAAGCAACGGCTGTCTGTGGAATGTCTGTGCTGAACTGAGACATTGCGTAATTCGCATGGCAACGTGAATGTCATTGCTAAAAGTTTCATGCGAACGCGATAGCTTTTCAGTAAGCAGGCTACAATTAGTTCAAAATCATTGATAGGGTGCTTGAAGGATTGGATGCTCGTTCACTGTAATTCTCGTCATGAAACATGGGGAGCATTACAATCAAATGCATGGTCACAGTTTACAATGTCCCCCAATTCATTAAGTTTTAGTTCTTTTTTCCTTGAGGTCTGTGAGAAACGGCAACACTCTAGCAGTTATCGTCGGGTATTGGTTGCTGTGTTGTCAGTTACGGTTGCCCGCTTGTCATCTCGTCAACTGACGAGTTTCTGTTGCGCTGTGACGTTAAAGTAATGTGTGATAACTCACTTTCAGTCAAGGAGTCGGGAGTGGGCGCGAGGTGCTAAAAGGTCAGCAGGCGACAATGACAGCGTGAGCATTCCAAATAGCCATTCCCATTCGAGCGAGTCGTTTTTCAGTGAAGCACCGTGCCATCCCAGTCACCACAAATGGTCTCTGCGTTCATTTGAGACCACTTACTGGCGCCCTGTCCGTCGCCGCCTATGGCCGAACAATGCGCGCCCGATGGCGCGGCCTTGTCGGTGTCGGCTCGGCCCTCTCGCTCTCCGCCGCGGGCGGTCGCCGGTCCAGTTTAGCCTACCGGAGATTGTGCGTCCGCCGTCCGGCCGAACCGCACCTGCCACGCAGTGTAGTAGCCAAGGCCGAGCCGCTGCGGGCCGCGGCCCCGTCCGCCCATTGACTGGCGCTGGCGGGGTGCGACCACAGGGGAGGGGAGGGAGGCCACAAAGCGGCCACATTCCTCTGGCCACTCATTAGGGCGTCTCTTTGTTCCGGCTGAGCGGCGCTGGGACGACACAGTGCGCCAGAGTGGCGCCGGGGCTAGCCGGTCGCGATGACGGGATACGGGGGCGACAGGAACAGGTGGAGAGGCGGGACGGCGGCGTGGAGAGATGGGGGATAGCTCAGTGGGAGAGGTAAGGGTTAGATGGTGGGGATCTGGTGGGGAGACAGGGAAGATGGCGGGAGAGTGGTGGAGAGAGGAAGGAAGCAAGGTAGAGAACGGTTGAAATGGGGAGACAGCGGGTTAGCGATGAGGGGAGGGTTTGGAAGAGAGAGAGAAGGTGGGGTAAGAATCTAGTGGCAACGGCAGGAAAATAGGTAAGACCGGTGAGAATATGGGTGGTGGCGGTGGGAAGACGGTGGATAATCGAAAATGAAGGACATACACCGGACAGACTTCGGAAACTGGATAATGACAGGAGTGCGCTAGAATAATGACAGGATGTACCGCCGCCAAGTGAGGACCAGGCCCGAGTCTGGGACAGCCATGACGGTCGAGCCTCAGATGTCTATCGCGCTCGGGAAGGATAGCCAATATCTCCGAGTCGTCTCCGGAGCCTGGCGGCAGTGTTAGACAGCTGCCGAGGCTCGGCTGCCGGTCTCCGCCGTCCGGCTCACAGCCGGCCGCGGCCACAATCCGCCGAAGAACGACCCGCCGACATTATCCGCTCCATCTACACGGAGTGCCGTTGCGCAACATTCAGTGCGTGCTGCGGCTGCGGGCCTGCGGTTAGAGGCGGTCCTCTGCGGCCGGCGCGCCGGAAACCGTCGACTCGGGGAGACTGGCCGCGGCCGCGCGGGCCGCCGCCGGAGACTGCATCCGAGAATAGAACGGTATCCCGGAGACCGCAGCGCGACACAGAGCGCTAACACCAACCGCCACCGATCGAGAAGATCCGACAATCAATCGTCTACCGTCTGCTCCCAATCACCCGGTGACGGCGTCACATAATGGGGATCTGCAGACCAGTTTTCGATCATATCAGAACACGCCACTAACGCCGCTCGCACGCCACTCACGCCGCACGGCATCTTGTGACGTCACTGGCCGGCGACAAAGCCGCAGCGCGTACCACGGTAGCCGGCCGGCGCGCGCCGCAGGCGCTGCCGACTCGACTTTGGGACCGGTCGGACGCCGGTCCAAAGCCAGAGCCAGAGTGGCCGCCGGTCGGAGCAGGCTGATCGGGATGCTGCAGCGTTGCCGGGGTAGGACGCTGACCGGGCGATACATCGGCCGCTCCCCGGTAAGCCGGAACGAAAACAATCGGCAAACCCTCCGCTGAACGAAATCAAACAACACGCAAAACGGCGCGGAAAATATTAAGCAATCCACGATCTTGTGTTTGTTAACCCGCGCGGGGCTGGGGGGGGGTAAATTTTACCCCCCCTCGCGAATTTTTGCGATATCTCAAAAACGGCGGCGCGCAGCGCCGCCAAACTTTCAGTACCTTTTCTTACATCAATTTGACACGTTCCCTGAAAATTTGAGCGAAATCCGTCGGAAAATTTTTGAGAAATTGACGTTTTAGTGACGTCATGTTCGCCATTTTCGCCTCAAAAACGGCAAAAGTTCAAACGCCGCTAACATCTTCATTTTTTAAGGAATCAAGACGTAACAAAAAAGGTTATACGTAATTTTACTTTGTCTATCAAATGGCTATCTCGGTTTTTTGAAAATTTTGGATTTTGGCCTAAATTTTTTTCAAAAAACTGACTTTTTTGGGAAAATCATTATAAAATCCAAAATATTGAGTCTATCGAAAAAACCGGAATATATGTCAGAGAAGTGGTCTATGTGCATCTACATACCAAATTTTAGAAGAATCGGTTCAAAAATGTGGGAGTTATTCAAAATTTTATGACGTCACGACACACAAAATTTTTGAAAAATGACTTTTTTGGAAGTTCTAGACCTCGTACGGAAACAAAAATAGCACCATTCGATTCGCCGTGAAAAACTGCATCAGATAGACACCTTTTTAGGCCTTAACAACCAACTTCAAAATTTGACCTCACTTGACCTGACCTTGACCTGACCTCGACCTGAAATTCATCCAGAGGTGGTCCATATCACTTATTGAGTGTGCCTATTGAATTCTATGAGTAAAATGACCCATAAAACATGTGTCGCACATGCCCTTTTCTATATTTTGTTTTTTGGTGACCTGACCTGACCTGACCTGACCTTGACCTTGACCTCTGAATGATATTGTATGCAACGAATATTGTCTTGGTAGCCTAAGAACACGTTTTGGGCGATCAGTCTCAGTCCATGACTCCATTCTTCGGCAACTACGGTGCAAGGCCGATACTGTAGAAACTTGCAATTTGTACCCTTGACCTGACCTTGACCTTGACCTCAAACTTTAAATTAAGTACATGTTTTTAGTAGTTCGTGATGAGAGCTTTCGATTGGCGTTTGAATTTTCCAAATCGGACCATTAGTTCGGGAGATAACAGGGGGGGGGGGGTAAAATTTACCTCCCCCCCCCCAGCCCCGCGCGTTCGGCTGGAGACCCCAGCCCCGCGCGGGTTAATCCGAATGGCTATGATATACGTGAGCTATCCATTTCCATGGCCACTTGAAACTAGAGACACGGACGAACAGGTGCCGGAGCAAAACGTGAGCCTCTGCGACTGGTGAACGTGAATGGCACAAATGCCGTGAGTTAATGACACTAATTACCCGAGCTGGAAGACCGGCCTGCGGTAACGTTCGCCACAGTCCAGTACTTTTCCGCGCAGGTGCCCTGCGGGAGCAGTCGTCCCCAAGAACGATGCGGGACGGGAATGCCAGAGTTGCAGAACGGTCTTGGAGCGGAGGCATCAGATGGTGGCCACACCCGTGTCTCTTATGGCCTAATGTGCTGCTGTGTTTCAGCAGTCTGGTGATTAAAAGTAGGTAATGCTGCTCGTTACAGATGTGCTAGCGATACTGCTGTAGTTACAAGTAAAATTTACAATAAGTATCTTCCGCGGTTATTATGGTTAGAGCAGATTAGAGTGATACCATTGACCATGCTACTACATGTAGCTTTTTGGTAGCTTTTTGTGCTTTTTGGTGCCGTTGGGGGAGATAAAACCAACATAAGTCGTACTTCCAGCATTGCGATGTCTTTGGGGCAGATCGAACTAACATTGAACGTTTACCTATATTTACCTCGTACAGCGCAGATGGAACCGACATTTACCGTATGAACACACCTCGTGCAGTTCAATGCCGTTTGGACAGATCTGGCTGACATTGACCGTGTGAACCCACCTCGTGCAGTTCAATGCCGTTGGGGCAGATGCCCAGCAGTACGGAGCCGGTTGGCTCGGCTTTTCGTCGTTTCAGCCTGTAGATGTGCAGGTTGTGAGGCGCCTCCATGGCAGAGGCCTCGCGAATGTAGGCCAGCTCGGCCTGGGTCTTCGCCATGGAGCGGTTGTCCTGGTGCGCCGCCGCCGTCTTCTCCAGGATATAGTCGACGCCCATTTTAGTTAGCACCTGGAAAACGTGGCCAGTCAGCATCCACCTTCTTTTTAATCTTGCTGGTACACCACCACCAACAGTTTTCATTAAGACGGTACGGATTATGGCATTTGCAGGTAACTGACACATCTACTGTCACTGTTCAGAGATCCGTTTTCACAGCAGAAAACATGCCCTTTTCACTATTTAGCTCCAGTAACAAAAATACCCGAGCCATTGGCGCAACAATTTACCTACTGGAGCAACAACTTCTTGCACCTTGTTTCCAGTTCTTTACAGCCCGGCGACACGGAAAGAAGCCTCATTATAGACCAATTACGCCAGGAAACCACTGTGCGCATTGCACAACACACGTTTGTGTGGCATCCGACAGGGTCCACTCACCCATTTGGGGAAGTACTCGACCGGCTGGAAGTAGGCGGTGCCAGCAGTGTCGCTGAAGTCTCCGATGTCGGCCTGCAGTGCCCAGCCGGCCAGCAGGAGACACGTGTCGACGGCACACGTCTGCCGGTGCACCAGCACGTTCTCTCGCAGTTGGAGGTAGTAGTGGTGCCGACTGACGCGGTCCCTGTCGATAAACGAGCCACAGGGCACAGACGGGTCAGACATATGTCATAGACATGTAACAAAAAGCTACAGATAGGCTGAAGACAGTTTAAAGGGACTATCCCACCTTTAACATGGGGTTTGAGTTGAGATAGCCAAGTTTGCGGCGATGTTCAGAAACCACTATCTATCTAGGTTGCAACCCCCACGGCCTCTTGGTGTTGAAGAAATTCGTTCCCTTCATTTGAAAATGGACCTTGTACAAGGCCCTATCTTCAACATGGAGCGACCGTTAGTGTGACGTCACCTCGTTTAGTCATTCTGATTTAAATGGGTTTGTTCGTTGAAAAATCGCTTAAAACTTGGTCTGAACTTTGTTGTGGTGCCTACAGAGTAAAAAGAATCAGCTTTATGACAGTAATGTGGCCTGGGGAAGGAGGTAATTTTGGGCTGTGACGTCACATATTTGAAAGTTTGTGTTTGGAAAATGGAAAGCCTAAGATGTTTAATGAAAAATAAATGCCAGAACCGTGTTCCTGGTCATCCAATCTATAAAGTCGGGCACAATTTAACTGGTTTTAACAACATTTTAGAAGGTGGGATAGTCCCTTTAATGAGAGGTCACACAGCTAAGTAAAACGGTGTGGCCTGCTGACAGTGGCATGGTAAGTGATACAACACATGGCTTTCTTCCTCTGTGTCCAAATGTCCACCAGAAAAGGACCCATCCACTTTTCAATGCCCTTGTAAATAGAACCACGCCCCTCTATGATCGCGGCCTCCGAGGAGATAAACCCCCTTCTCCTCCGTGGTTAGCACAGGTCAGCGGCCGGTCTGGAGGCGCGTCAGTCTGATATTAGTAGCCGTTTCCCGGCACCGGCTGGCGGCGGTGGCGGGAGCGTCAGGCACGTCCGCCCGGCGGACCGCCACCACCAGACACCGCCTCCGCCTCGAAGGCCGGCGACGTCCGTGCAGCGACCAGGGGCGGCGGCGGTGGCGGGGCGGTCAGAGCCGGTTGGTTACATTCCGAACAGGATCCCCGGCTACCGACCCTCTCAGTCACCGGGCCCGCGGACCTGTCCTCGGCCGTGTGGTCGCTAATGTCATCTCTAGCCCGTGTCTTTCTCTTTCTCATCGCATTCACCGTCTTCTTTTATCGGTTATAGACTTTCCCAGCCCTTGTTTTCCCAGCCGTTTAGTGTCACAAGATTTCGGCGTTTTCTGTATCTTGCCAGTAACATGTACCAAGTCCGTTACTCATGGGCCCTCGTCCTCCCTGAGTTGTTGATTTCCAGCTCTCTAACCTCGCAATATCCGCCCTTATCAGCCCGTGCTATGTCATACATCCTCTGTCTGTCTGGTTCGCCATTCCTTCGCCAGTTCCGTCCCATGCCCAGTGTGGCAGCCGAGGCATGACAACCGCAGACATCCGGCGCGGTCACTGAGCTGATAAATCAGCTCCACTGGACGTCCCGTGCAGCTGCTGATTCACCCGCTAAAAATCCTAATGACAGCACGATAACAGAAGCACAGACAGTGCACGCAAGCTGTCGGAAACTTTTGGAATTGATATCATAGGTAAGTTGTCATGCGACTCACCTCAGTAACAAGTGACTGTCCACGTAGAATTTGACCCGGAAGCTAAACTGCAACAGGGGCCTGTTGGAGCCGTCCAGGCCCTGTAAAGGAGGCGAGGAATCGCAGTCATCAGATGTGCACCGCACCGCTCACAGAAACACAAAACCAAGAGGGCTAAATGTTAACGGCGGCTCGAACCTGAATCATCATACGACGTGGTTCGCCTCAGACATGCCACAAATATCTCATTGTCCGATTCAATGACTGTTATTTGAAGGCAGTTTGATAACAAATGAAGCCTTAGTTGGCAAGTATAGTCGACTACAGAATGATGTTCCACTCCTCAGAAGTTCTCAGTTGACCGGAGCGCTAAGTTGTGCCATTTATCACGCAATTAAGCGTGTCGATTGTGAGCATTGGGACAAAGCTATAAGTTGTGAACTCAGCCCGTGTGATGCGGCACAGCCTACCACTCCAGGCAAATAATTGCCTGTGAAAAGTCGAACATCATTCTGTAGTCGACTATACACTATGATTATTTTACTAAATTTATGTATATATTTTGTTTCGTGCAGAATAACAATAATTTAATAATAAATATTTGAATATAATATAAATAAATAATAAATATTTGTATCTGTGTGCTAAGTACTCACATATTCATTCGATGACTTCCAGGCCTTAGGTGCGTATTTCGACACCTTGTTGTCCGGATCCACGAACACGTACTCTCCATCTGTAAATAATCAAGTAAGATCAATAATCGTAGCAGAAACCAGTCCGAGATTAACATAAGGTATATTATAAAAATATGGCTATCAAATGTCAATATTTTGTTGTTGGTGTATCACTTTTGCACTGCTGGCAAGTAAAACTTTTCGCCGTTCTGCAGAACAGTTCCATGGAGCCGCTGGCCGTCCGGCGGGAACATCGTTTGGTCATCCACTCGGTGGGTAAATGGGTGCGGTCCCTCAACTCATCGCGCGTGTTTGTTGCAGGAATCAAAGAAACCGACATTAAAACTGACTAAGATTTGTGCTACTTCGGTGTATCGTAGTGCATAGATCTGGAATAGACCTGCATAGCCCGGCGACTAAATGACTAGGCGCAGCGGAGCCTTTAACCCTCGCCCATGTAGGGGGGGGGGGGTTGGTGCAACCCCCCTGAGGTTTTTCGGAAATAGTGCAAAAACGGCGGCGCGCAGCGCCGCCAAATTTTGGGTACCTTATGGGGCGAACCTTGTGCATCTTTTGATAAAAAAATTTGACCGGGTCATGTCAGGTCACGGAGTTATGACGTCACAAAGGGAACAGCCTCCGGCCGGATTTTCACAAACTGAGTGCCAACGCCCGAGGTTTCCTGCCGGTGGTACAGACATCGGTTGATGGATCGTGATGAAACTTCCCATGCATGTTGGGGCAAGTATTGGTTATCATATGGTATAAGAAACTTGACCGGGTCAGGTCAGGTCACGGAGCTATGACGTCACAAGAGGAACAGCGTCCGGTACTATTTTTGAAAAGCGCCCGAACCACTATTTTGTTAATTCTTGTCACCTCAATGGGAATATGCAGCAATATTAGCTTCTATAGGGAGCAAATGGACCTCCCAAATCCAAAAATACAATCAGATTTCAAAAATTTAAATTTTGATTTTTCGAATTTCTGCCGACGACTGTGACCTTGCAGACTTCCGGCGCTCCCAACGCGCCATTGTTAGAGCTAGGGAAACGAAATACATACCAAACGATAGAGAATTGATCAAGGAACACGATAGTGAAGGTTTCAAGTCGATATCTCCCACCGTTTTGCCGCAATCGCCGCCGAAAGTTGAAAAAAGTCTATTTTTCCGAAAATTTGACATTTGACCGGTCAAAACTAGGTCAAGTGTTGACCTAGGACCAAAAAATATACCACCAATCGCGAGATCTCGGCGAGAGCAATCCGTTGGTCTTTTCCGCTAAGCTCTACGACGCTCCGTTTTCAAACGCCAAGGGGGGGGGGTCGCACCAACCCCCCCCCCTGCATGGGCGAAGGTGGCAGATCGCCGTTTACGGGCGAGGGTTAAAGTAAGCAGCTGATAACTCGGTTGGCAACTACAGGTATTTGCGTTGGTAGGTATTTGCGATGTTCTACGTAGGTAATATCAAGTTGATTCACAACCCCAACGAAGGCATCAGGCATGCAGCTTTATTGTGCTTTGAAGCATGAACGCATAGATTGCATTTGCAACGCAAAATGTACCCATTAGTTTGGCGGTTCATAACTGGAGACTGCGATCGTCGATAGAAAAATAACACCAGTAGGAAATGAGGCTTCGGAGACTGCATTATCTCACAGGAAGCTAACCAGTTCTCCAGTTGTGCTGCAGGATTGATACAAAACAGAAGCAGCACCAGTGACTGATTTGTATGATATCTAGTTTTTGAAACTGGACTGGAGCTATTTATACAAAACATACGGTAGCAAATACGGCTAAATAGAGCACGTGTTACGGTGTTGAGTGGTAGGTAAGCGAGAGATGAGACAGATGGAAGATACCCAGAACACGGCCATCATTCAAAGACCGCGTGAACTTTCACCCCATCTACATTCAAACAGATGTTGAGCGCAGCATGGATACCGAACATTCATGCCTAAGTATGAGCAGCATTTCAATGTCACGCGCTGCGCGCTCAGTTTCGAAGTCCCTGAGCCATTTGCATGCATTGACCTTGCTGGCTGGGACCGCGGCGGAGCGCTGCACCGAACCGTCACCCGAGGCGGCGGTGCCTACTCTGCACAGTCCATCCTGCGACCTCACCGGCGCACCACACGAACCGACGCCCCGACCAATGTATTCGGCAGGTGAGCCAAGACCTCCCACAAGGGTTCAGCAATGACGACGTACGACACACAAACTGGTGTATCTCTGTGAGGTTCGCTGTGCTACAAGCACTGCGACATTCGCGGTTGGCTTTGGTCCGAGATCCTACAGTTTTTCCAACCGCTTGCTTGCACTCTCGATGGGTTCATTGCACGCGGCGGCATTCACGGCGTCTGGGGGCGCGGCCGGCGCTCTTAACATCGTCTCTCCACGGAGCCTCCTTCCGCCGGGCAGCCCGCACCTGGGCGCACCTCACAGGCCGGCAAGGACGCGCCTTTTTGCCCGTGCGCGCCCTCGTATCGCGGCGCGGCGGCCTCCCAGCGGACCGGGGCTGTTTGAACGTGGCCCCCGGCTGCGCTCGGCGCATTTTTGACGCGCCGCGGCAGCACTATCGCTGACCAGCACGCGCCCGGCGCCACTGACCAGGCCGGTCGGTGGGATGGACCGCGCGCTGGGATGGGCCGCACTGCCGGGGGGACGGACCGGCCGCGCTGTTTACCAGCGTCCGAGCGGCGCGGCGCGCGTCCGGCCGCCGTACTGATACCGGCCGGTGTACCGAGGCACACGTCGGGGTCATGGTAAGTACACCAGAGGTCACCTCACAGGGCAGATGATGCGCGCAGATACTGAGGGTAGATACTGCGGATAGACACTACCGGGTGTATTCTACTGGTAGATGTTGTAGGGAATTACGTAGCTGAACATGACGTTCAACATGAAAAACGTCTTGAGACGATCTCCAAAGGAAAGTCATTCGACGTTTATCCGCGGACCTGGAGTGCCAACTTCAACTATAATACATCATAAGCAACTACTTGAGCTCTTCTAGCCAGCACGTTATGGATCTGTCACTATCCCCCACAGTGGCCTGGAACTAGCAATGTAGGAACTCGTCAACAAATTCTATACTTACGGACAACATATAAGCTGAGGCATTGGGAATTCCGGCAAAACATCAACAAGATCCACAGCCATACAGATCACCCCACAACTAAAAACACATGCATTACATAGATATCTTGCAAGCTTTGGAATTATGTGAAGTCAGCCATACAGTGGCACCCCACAACTAAAAACACATGCATTACATAGATATCTTGCAAGCTTTGGAATTATGTGAAGTCAGCCATACAGTGAAATGTTATTCGTCAGCCGAGCTTGGTGGCTTTCATAAACTGCAACAGCATTCTGCGGTGCACATATTCTCGATGTGATCACGGAAATATTGAACTTTATGACTATCATTATGATCGGATTGAAGCTACCCCATGCATGCCAGCACAGAAACCATAAATACATCAAGAAACAAAGCTTTAGTCTTGGAGGCCTTTTTCAGTAATCTCAGAACAATGCAGATGATTCCGTGATGGGTCATTTGAACTTTTATTGCGTCTCATATTAATCCCTAGTTCCAATAATAACTAATCGTGCTAACTAAGCCAGCAAAAGCGCGTACCAGTTAGCAGCACACAATAGCATAACTACATGCAATTTGAATAGCATAACTACTGATGAGCATGCCTTCTGACACCTTCATAGCGTCCTTCGCATTCTCTGAGCGGCACACACCGGCCTCCACAGCACCTCAGACACGTGGCAGCGGTCAACGGACAAAAACCGGGCCGGCGCCGGCGCAGCAGGTCAGATAAATGGACATCACTGCTGCTTCGGAGGGCCAGTGCACTGACCTCGCATCAGGGCACAAACAAAAACAGACGCATCCGCTGTACCCTCGATAAATCACCCGGCCGAAAAAGGGCGTGGGTGGGGTCAGGGATGCATATAGAGATACCACAGCACGATACGGAAGTTGCGGAAGGGAAAAATGCCGTGTCGCTACTTATCCTTTTGCCCGTTTTGGTCGAATATATCAATGAATAGCGTTTTATTTTCATATGAATGGTATTATGCACTGCGGTCATGCAACGAATTTCGAAGCAAGGAACGAATATTTGAGATGGCGCTGATAGTGTGTAGACATCATTTAGGCAAGCCTCAAGCAAATTGTAAATCCAGAAAGCACCAGAATTGCAAAATTTTCCGTACTCACCGATCGGGATAGCCAGTCCGAACAGGGCCGGATCCTGCAGGCCTTGGAGACACATTCGATCACAGACGCGGGCGGCAAGCTCGGAGAGACGACACTTGGTCTGGAACGGGGAACGAGAACGATCAGATTGGGTCACTCAGATGGTCCGGTCAGTGCGGGTCACCAGGCGGTCAGAACAGGTCGACCAGACTGTCAGTACGGTCAGCACGTGCCACTCAGGCAGTCAAAGCATGTCAACTACTTATAACGGTCAGTACAGGTCGAGGTCATCTTACGTCCAGCACGAGTCACCCAGACGGTTAGCACTGGTAACCCAGACGGTCCACAGACAACAGAGTGAATATCATCGCTCATGTTCACTGATAAACTGCTAACAGCAATCAGCACTGGTCACCCAGACGGTCGGTCAGCGAGATTTAATCCAGTCAGCACTAGGATGTCAATTACAGAAAATCAGGATACCGATACCAAACCAAATACCAACTAAAGCCACAGGAAAATACCGAAACCAAACCAACTTGGGAAAACCAGGGAAATATCAACTTTTTACAAAATTCTCAGCCTCTTACCTACACATTAGTTAGGAATCATAATATCAACAAAATACCAAAAACATAAGGTATCCAATTGACATCTCTAGTCAGCAGTCAGCCCACCCAGCCGACCAGCAATGGCTATCCCAGTCCAGCTTGTCAGCAATAGCTATCCCAGTTGGTCGGTCAGCATATCCCAGCTGGTCGGTCAGCGCTGCCCGATACGGTCCTCTTCATCCGTCTGCGTCAGCAGACATTCCCCATAGCTGTAGTTTCGGTCTCACTCGGATAGATTTTGGGCAATACTAAAACCTCACAATCGAATACTGCCAAACCTGCTGTATCGGCCTTTACTGGCACACCTAATGTCATATTCGCTATGTGTACATTTCAATATAATTGGATACCAGGAACATGACTCATTTTTAGAGAAAAAAAAAGACAGAAATGGCACCCCAATGTTAGTACGACGCTTTATTTTATGTATGCTCGATCAACATTAAATGTGACTTATTTTAGGCCGAAATGGCAGAAAAATAATTAACCGGAAACAATGAATATGAATGCTGTTACTCTCAGTCAACCGGTGACCTATGAGGTCAGAATGAAATTCCCAGATCAAGAGTCCGGTTTTGGGTAATAACTTTCGTAATGGTCGCAGAGTCACGGCTTTTGCACTATCGTGTTTATCGTGCTCAGGCGCGTTGAATTATATAAGTTTCATTTGGGAAAGTTCAATTTAGGCTGTCGACCTCCAGCCAAGGCCAGGTCAAAGTAGCTCAGGTCGCAAAGCTGATCGAAGGAGCTCATAACTACCACATGTCATTCGATTTAAAGGGTCTTACCGAGTCTATTGGTGACTTTTTCTACTCGTTACCTCATTTTGCTCGAGAGTTATTGACGAAAATCACTCTAAAGACCTCAAGCTCACGAAACGTTCAAAAAAGAAAAACATCAAACTTCGCAACGACTGGAAGAAATCACGATTTCATGTAATTGAGCTAGTGTCGAGCATTTCCGGTACTAAAATTATAGCTTCCATATTTCCTTATTGAAGTTTAGTGGTGAGGTTACGTGACATGACCTCAGGTGACTTTTATGAAAAATCCGAAATATACGTGTTACGTAGTTACAAGTTACAACTTGTACGTAGTTACAAGTTGTGAGTCTTCGAAAGGTTAACAAATTTTGCATCCTGCAAAAGATTTCCTGACACTGGCGACTCAAATTTTATCCGTCTTTAAAGTGATTCAATCACGAAAAAAGGAAATATATGGGGTGCTTCACCACCCCGCCGATAACATTACACGAAATATGGACATCTTCCTGTCCAGTTTCGACTCACCTCGACACTGAAGAGCAGCACTTGGCGCGTGAGTAGCTGAACGGCCACGTAGCGACGACTGCTGGGCAGCGGGGAGGAACAGGACTGGACTGACGTGACCGCCGAGTGGCGCATGGCAGACGGGCGCGCCCCAGCCCGTGGGGCACATAGCAGGTCAGCTCGGCAGCCGCCTGCCGACAGAACGGGGTAGGCATGGTAAGAAAAGTGTCAGCGTTGAAAACACAGAAGGGACAGTATGCTGTCAGCACAGTACCTAGCACACTGTCAGCACAGGCAGCGTCAGCACAGACAGCACAACCTACATCACATAGAACATATGGTAGGCAGTGCATACAATCAGCCCTGTCAGTATTTATCCGTCGTAAAAGTATCACCCCGGTCCATTGCCTCGGATTTGATAAGTTGTAGCCCTCCGGAGTGCATCTCTCGTCCTGATATGGCTGCTTAAAACCATAGGACTGACGGAGGGGAACACAGCTGTGTTTGCCTTCCACTATAAGGTGGTGATTGTCCCGCTTGTTTGACTGCTCGCTTGAAGGACATTTTAGCGTCACAGTAGAAAGGAATCTACAAAAAACGTCCCGGTTACGAGCCGGTATATGTCCCTGGAACTATCATAGCTAGTGAAGTAAAATGGAAGGATAACGACACATGCCATAAATGCATCGATGACCTTCACAAAAGTTTCACATTTATTCCCATCGTTCATGAACACAAAGAACTATAGCCAGTCCAAAGTCACCAAGGGCAGCTAGGCAGGACTTTGTCGCTCAGAGACCGTGCTGTCTACCTAGCTTTAGTCGGAACTGGGGCGTCAGGGGCATCAGATCGTAGCCGGGACATCAGGTAGCCCGCGATACTGACGGACCTGGCGTCTCTCCGAGTCAGCTCGACCGCCATCAGCCTGCCTGCGGGCCTCAGCAGACGGCCACCGGGCGCACTTTCACCTCAATCACAGTAATTGTGCGCTGGGCAGGCCGGCCTGGCGCCGACGGGCGGGCGTGCCAGATCGACTCAGGACGGAGCGCACACGGTCTGCGCCTGGGTTCACTCGCCGTGTGCGAATGTGCGAGTGTATATCCTGGTGTAGGTATGAAGTATGCGGTGAATTGATGGCAATAATTCATAGATCGATGTTTGTAAAACACTTGATTAGTTTAAATGATCGTGAAGAAAAAAGCGTTTGAATAAGGATGAGTAACATTCTTGCAAGATGATCGGAAGGCAAAAAAAAATCAACTCGCTGCGATGTTTCTGAAGCTTTCACGCTGGATCATTTGATATTCTTTTATACTACCTATTAACCCGCGCCGGGCCGGGGGGGGGGGTGTTTGAACACCCCCCCTGTGGTTTTTGGCACACCTGTTCGTGCATCTTTTCCGCACATGTTGTGAAAATTTCAGACACGTCTCACCTCAGAACAAAAATAAGAATGCTCGTTATAGCTACACCAATTGATCGATTGCCTTGAAACTTTCAGCGATTGATAACATTATCTATAAAATGTATATCTCGGAATTTTGATATCGGTGACCTAAGGTCAGGTCAATTTTGCGGCCTTTCCATTATAAGTCAATGGGAGAAAATTGAAAAGCGTCTGTTTTGCACGAACGCTATTCTAGACACTCTCAAACATCGAGATGTAGGTAAAATTGACACAATGAACCGGAAAATGGCAACTGTGACCTCTCGTTATGTCCCCGAGGTCATCGCAGGTCACGAACAGAATCTAACAGTTTTTCGCTAATGACTTCTGATAGAGGCGTGCTAGAGCGCTGAAAAGGCCTTAGATGTGTTCGGCTCGACGTTGCGGATCGACTGATATGCAACATGACCTTTTCCGGTCCGGTCATGACCTTGACCTAAGGTCAAATTTTCAAGTTGACCTTTCAAGGTTCAAGGTTTCAAGGTTATAGTTCATTCGACGCGTCTCGACGAGAGGAACACGATGCTGGCAAAAGTAATGTCATGGCTCTTTTGAGTCAAAAGTTATTGCGGAAAAAACGCTTTTCGTAAACACGGCTATTTTTGAGTTTTTTTGCCCTCTGGAGGCTAAATCTGTGGTCAAATCTGAGAACATTACTCAGAAAGGTCTGTAAAAGGGCTATCGAATGCGCGTTTCTGCGGCGCTGTAGCTCTATCGGTTCCCGAGATAGCCGTTGGCAGTTTCCAAAATGTTGAAATAGTCAACATTTTACCTTTGGTGACCTCTGGTGACCTGACCTTTGACCTGACCCAAAATTGACCGAAGTGCTTTCGTCCTTATTTTGGACGTTCATTCGATTGCCGCTTGCCACGTGTCGCTGCGTGGCCCAAGAGCCGAGTTAGAAGTGTTCAGACCCCCCCCCCCCCGGCCCGGCGCGGAATCTCAGAGCACCGGCCCGGCGCGGGTTAAAAGACCCATTGCTGGTACCGTCTATCCACGACAGTCGTACTCCTATCCATGCCTTTTTAGCACACGCTTTCCCATACTGTCCCGCACCTGACCCAGATGCAGGACATTTGATCCCCCAGGGCGGCTCCCTGGTTTCTGTCTGGTCGTATTGATCCTCCTCGCTTCGTAATTTGATACTCAGCTGGTAATATAGACACGAGTTATCGAGACACGAGTTATATTAGTGTAGACACGAGTTATCGAGACACTGGACAGGTGGTCGGACAAGCGCTTCTAAATATGGCCAGAAACGATTCGATTTTTTTCATGATTTCGTTATCCTGTTTTTCGATGATAAAAATTGTTGAAGAAGTTTAAGATTTTAAAAGTTAATCGATCAGTGACAGGAGGTATGAACTGTGATAAACGACCTAAATGGTTAGCGTGCTGTTTTGGGAATGCTTCGGTGGTAGGCATCTTTTTTAGTTATCGGTTATCTTGTTGTTTTGTGCGCTGGCAAAGACAGAAGGCGACGATTCTTGCAACAAATCATGATAACACGGCATCACTCGACTCTCCTTATCACTGCTCTCTCTCTCTCTCTCTCTCTCTCTCTCTCTCTCTCTCTCTCTCTCTCTCTCTCTCTCTCTCTCTCTCTCTCTCCTCTCTCTCTCTCTCTCTCTCCTCTCTCTCTCTCTCTCTCTCTCTCTCTCTCTCTCTCTCTCTCTCTCTCTCTCTCTCTCTCCTCTCTCTCCCTCTCTCCCTCTCTCCCTCTCTCCCTCTCTCCCTCTCTCCCTCTCTCCCTCTCTCCCTCTCTCCCTCTCTCCCTCTCTCCCTCTCTCCCTCTCTCCCTCTCTCCCTCTCTCCCTCTCTCCCTCTCTCCCTCTCTCCCTCTCTCCCTCTCTCCCTCTCTCCCTCTCTCCCTCTCTCCCTCTCTCCCTCTCTCCCTCTCTCCTCTCTCTCTCTCTCTCTCTCTCTCTCTCTCTCTCTCTCTCTCTCTCTCTCTCTCTCTCTCTCTCTCTCTCTCTCTCTCTCTCTCCATTCACGTATAGGTGGAAGAACAGTTGTCTCACATGCGCGTGATAAGGTCACTATCAGCTCGCTGTGGACTCTTTGACCTCTTAAACATCAGCAAACATGTGACCAGCCGCAGCAATTGCAGTTGCTACCTCACGACCTGACGTTTAAAATTCGCTCAGCCGGTATGCACGTGCTGAAGGTGTGTACTGATCCAAATGCGACTCGATTCAAACAATGTCGATGAATGTTCTGGTAGGTATAGAATGGATCGGTTTCCATTCTCTCGGGAAACGTTTGTTTGATTCTCCGCAAGTACCTATAGCTGCCCTAGTTTCATAACATTGCTTTTTTGTGATATTACTTACAGCATTTAGTTTCAATGTGGCTATCGATCTTCAGCATTAAATATAGGTACCTTGCGTGAAGTAGGTAATAGGAATAATATAGGGGACAATGTATAGTGCCATATCACGACTCAGTAATTCCTCTCAGGTTGGGGTCCTTGGACTGTTGCATAGGAGCGCTAGGTATAGGAAAAGACCAGGCTGATTACACTTATAGTCATCAATGTTGTAGCGTGTAGTTCATTGACAAAGAGCTTGCGTGAGAAAGGCTTGACACGCTTCCACACGGTTGCACAGGTATTCGCGGTGCTCCTGTTGCGTCCCGTGGGAATTCAGTGGCCCATTCACAGGCCAGCTGCAGGTGTGTGGGACGGACGTGCACTTTCCCGGGCCGACAACAACCAGCACGCGTACTGCCCCTCCCCATCCCCTCCTCACTAAGGACCTAGGCCAGCCGGCGACAACAACCGGCACGTGCAGCGCCCCTACCCTCCCCACTAAGCCTTGGGTCACACAGTGACAACTCATCAACGTATACTAGCTCTCCCAAAACAACAGCCAAAAAGGTCCCTGGGGTACATAGTAACAACACCCACCACGTGCATAGCATTTGTTTCACCATTTCCCTCCCCATCCTGGGTCACACATTGATAACAACCGGTACATGCATTACCCCTCCTCCCCCCCCCCACAGAGCTCTGCGGGCATGCAGTGACAACACTTGCCATGTGCATTACCCCCATTCACCCCTCTCCAAAAAGTCCCGGGGGCACATCCCTAGTGGAAATATCCGCTCCGTGCATTACCCCTCCCCATCCCCTCCCCACTAAGGTCATGGGATCCGCCGAAGTGACAACACCCGGTAAGTGCATTATACCATACATCCCTCCTTCCAACAACCCCGAGCCCCGAGGTCACGCGGTGACAACACCGGCCACGTGCAGTGTGCACGACCACTCCCCTCGTCCAATATAGGGAAGAGGCATGCGAATTGCGAACCACGATCTCAATCCATTAGAGCAGGACGGGATAATTAATATCCGCTTGATCGGCCGTGATGACATCCATGGTATTCATATTTAGCAGACATAATGGAGCATTGAACATTGGAGCAGGGACTCGTGAAGTGGTCAAATGATATTGGTTCCTCTCACAGAATCTGGGCATTTATTGCATGGCGGTAACATGTATGTAGACGCTTTGCTGGGCGCTGGGCTAAGATGAGAGATCGAGAATGTCTCTTTCTCGTTATAATTCATAGTATCATCTGACTCCCGTCGAGTCTAATGTAAACAAAAATGTTCAGCGGTATCCTTCCGGTGTCCATCATCTCCTTCAGTTCTACAGCTCATCACGCCCTCGTGCGGAAAGGTGTCGGCCCGGCACAGACATTCGACAGCGCATTGTGATTTCGATGGGCCTAGTGGTCGCCTCCACAAGTCCACGCTGCCCACTAACATGCTGCAGAGGTAGCAAGTGAGGTTCGCGGACTCTCTGTGATAAGTGTAGGATTTCATTGTGTCGTTCTGACGATGATGTTGATTTAGAGGTTTAGGGCGCCTGGACTGCGGTGGTTACCGGCGCTCACTGTGCCGTTCTCTGCTTCACCCACCTGTGTCCCAGCGCGGCTGGTCGCTCCGCCATCGCGGCCCGGCCGGCCGCAGTCCGCTGGTCCGCCGTCCTGCACCTGTCACCGTGCCGGTCACACCGAGAGCACACCGAACGGTCACCGGGCGCCCTGCGCGCGCGCACCACCCTCACGCCGCCACCAGCACGAGACTGGCGCGCCGCGCCGGCCGGCGCCGCCACCACCGCGTGCTGCCCGCGTGCCGCCGGCCCGCGGTAACCGATGGCCTTTCTTGGTCCCTTGGAATGCCACTGGAGCTGGTAAGCTGCCGCCGGCTAGCCTCGGCTCAGGCGCCGACATTCCGCACCGGCCACTCGGTACAGGCTCTGGCAGAGGGCAGTGCGGCGCGCGCGGCAGACGCTCCGCAGTCGGCAGCCCGAACCCCGGCGGAGGGTGGCCGCCGCGGTCACCGGACGGCGGGGTCCCAGACTCCCGGCTGGAGGATAGGGCGGGACGGAAGGGATAGGAGGGACTGGGGGAAGAATAGCCATCTGAATAGCCAACAAGAGGGATTGCCATCCCTCCATGCCCTCCTAGGGCAGAGGACAGCCACTTTTATCGGGAGGCGGGCGCCTGATCTCAGCAGAGGTCAGCGCGGTCACGGTCGGATACGGTCACTGCGCGCTCTGACCCCGGTCAGGGAAGGGGTGTCATTCACACCAGCCAAGCTTCCCGTCAGAGCCGTACCAATACGTATCCTGACTAGTAAAAATATATGCAAGGGGGGCTGAGGGATCAGGTGTCCCAGCTAGTGCCCGGATAGGTTTAGGTAGATGTAGGTAAACACCCAACGGGGCTTTGCAGGAAAAGTCTAAAAAAAAATTTCAGCTCAATATCAATGATTTCCACGCTTTATTCTTTGACTCATTTCCGCGTCGATATATCGACGGTCTCGCTCGTCGATATTGAGCTATCGACGAACGAGATCGCACCTGACCCAAGGCCATATAAGTTCTTGACCGACCTGACTTCAAGTGACCTCCGGTCTTTGCACTCCCCTGATGTTAATTTTCCTCACTAGTGTCAACTCATGTAGGTATAAGTGTTTGTGAGTGTGGGAAATGTATTATTTGACTTCACCTGTAAATGGGTGCATAACCCGTCGGTGATAAAATGAATACAATACAGTACAGTAGGTCTATTAAAAAAGTCCCCCGCACCAGTGGGCGCTGCATTCGCTGAGCCGAACCCCCGTCTGCCCGTCCCATATCGCGCCGGGCTCAGGTCAGGTAGGGTCAGCGGGACCGCTCGGTCCGGCCCGCGGGCGGTGGACGGGCGGCCGGTAACGCTTTCCGCCAGCCAGCCGTAGAATCCAACAAACGGGACGGCCACCACTCAGCGCAGCGAAACCGGTGTTAAAGAATGGCAGTGGATGTTCATGGCCACAATGATTATGAGATAGTCATTGTTAGCCCGTGCCCCACAGGAATGCCTAGACTCGCACGCCCTGTTGGAGGGGAAATGGGGATTGAGCATCATTCTTATAACTCAGCTTTGGGCATTTAAGTGGTATTCGAAGTAGCGTCAAAAGTAGCAAAAAGCAGAAAAAAATACTTCAGCCAATTTTAGATCGGGTCAGAGCAAAAGATCATGTCACCAGAGGTCATCGATGGAAAAATTTTGCTTGGACAGGGTGCGTTGCGCGCACCGGTGCATTGGGTTTCCAATTTCCATGGAAACATCAACAGACTCGGAAGCTCGTAACGCTAGCGTGGAGCCGAATTCATATCAACCGCCGCAACAATGCATGGCAGCGCAGCGCAGCGTGCTGCAGCGCGGGGCCGTGAAACATCGCCCAGGGCTATCCATGTGTCAGGGCAATCCAACCCACGTTATGGGCTCGGCCCCAGCGGAGCATGAGGCCCAGAACTCCCGCCCAGGCCCCCTGTCTCCCCAATTCCTGTCATCCTTCCCACTCTGAAATCGACCGAAAGAGCCTAACCTAACGCAACAAGCAGCTCGTTTACCGCTATGTCTGAATAATATTGTCAGATTTAATTAAGGTCAACGGCTTAACACGTAAATAACAGCAACTGCCGTCTGCCACCATCGGTATTATGAGAAAACCAATCGCTTTTCCACAAACACTAAAAGTTTTAAGCTAAACTTGCATGAAATTAATTTTACCAGCCTCGTGTTCCTCTTATCAAAACGCTTCGAATGAATCAAAAGTTGATCTTTAAAGGTCATTTGAAGAATTTGGCCTATGTTCAAAGACATGACCTGACCAGAAATGGTCATGATGCATAGCAGGATATTAGATCCGTATCGTGGAACTTTACACACTTTAGATGATTTCATAACTTAAGCATGTCTATCAAAATATTTATTACATGGCTCATGTGTAAGCTGGGTGTGTGATCATGCTTACGAGTATGTTGAACGCAACTGATAATGTTCAGTTGGCCACAATTTCTATATTAAATTAATCCTCCCGGATTTCATATTTCTCAAGGTGTATTAATGACACCTTGACGATGTCGAGAAAAAAACGCTTAGGAGATTTAACAGCCTGAGATACATTCAGTATAAGGAAGGGTCAAGTCTAGGGTTACTTTTACAGGAAAAGTCGAGAGGGGGAATTAAGTTCGGGGCAAGGGCGGATCCAGGGGCATCTGAAAGGGGGGCCCAATGCCATTAGGTTTTTGTTAGGATGGCACCTGCAGAACCTTACCTACCCCCCAAATCCTACTCTCCCCGGATTCTGGCCACTTTATATTGTTAGGTTGCCAAAAAAAATAGCTTAAAAATATACGTAGGTAGCCTTGGCGGTAAGGGGCGGGGGAGGTCCCTACTTGACTGCGCCCTTGCAAATGTCAATCAGTAGTATCAACCTATTACCCTGGCCAAACATCAATTAGCGCCTTTCTAAATACAGAGAGGTTAACACGTGACTATTTTTGCTAGGCCAAGACCGATTGAAGGACCCTGGTTCGAAGGAAGACCCCTGATTCGCAGCGTGTTATGCGTGTTAATGTTAGAGGTCATGACCCCCGTCCCCCGCCAGTTTCTATACGCCGACGCCTGTAGCCAGCGGTGTAACTTTCTATATGTATGGGGGTGCAGGTGCACCCCCATCCCCTGAAAGTGCACCCCCATCACGTCAAAGTGCACCCCCATAGGCTAAGCGGCACCCCACACGCCGCCCGACACCGATAAGCTCTTGATCAAATGGCGAGGGTGATTTCCCGGCTACATTCCGTCTCGCGACCGGCGTCGTGCTGCTTGCGGGCTTGGGAAGCGTCCAGTCGTATCGTTCCCTAAAAATGGATGAAAGGGGCACCCCGGCAAAAACGGGACTTTCTCAGAAAAAGTGGAGCGCCCGAGGCAGAAGTGGGGCACCTCCAGGCTCCAACGTAGGTTGGGATCGTCAAGCATAAGACTGGCGCCCCAGCGGAGGAGAGGCGCCCCCAGTAGGAATGAGGCACCTCAAGCAGAACTTGCGGTTCGCCCAGTAGAATAGCGCCCTCAGTAGAACACGGGCGACCCCAGCAGAAAGGGGCGCCTCACCAGAAGAAGGGCGCCCCAGCGGAAGAAGGGCGCCCCACCAGAAGTGAGAAGAGAGATGTCTCCAGCAGAAAAGGAGCGCCCTCAGCACAAGAAGGGCTCCCCAGCAGAAAGGGGGCGCCCCAGCAGGAGAGGGATGCTTCCAGAAGAAGAGAGGCACTCCAATAACAATGGGGCACCTCAAGCAAAAGTTGGGCTCGTCCAGCAGTAGTGGGGCGCCCCTAGCAGAAGAGGAGTGCCCCCAGCATAGGGCCGCCCCAGCAGAAAGGGGCGCCCTACCAGGAGAGGGATGCCTACAGAAGAGAGGCGCCTCAATACAAAAGGGGCACCTGGAGCAAAAGTTGGGTTCGTCCAGCAGCAGTGGGGCCGGGGCGCCCCCAGCAGAGGTGGGGCGCCCCCAGCGGCCCCGGCGGAAGTGTGGCGTCCCAGCAGAACAGGGGCTCCCCAGCAAAAGAGCAATGCCCCCAACAGACCTACCCGAGCACCTTCAGCAGAAGTTGGGCTCGCCCGGCAGAAGAGGGACGCCTCTAGCAAAAATAGAGCATATCAGGGAAGGGAAATGTCAGACTCCAGTAGAAAAGTGAGACCCCAGCAGAGGAGGAGCGCCCATCAGAAGTAAGTCCCGCCTAGCAGAAGCGGGGTGACCTCAGCAGGAGAAAGGCGACCCCAGCAGTAGAAAGGCGCCCAATAAAGAAGGTGATTCCAGCAAAAGTTGGTGTCGCCAGTCGCCGAGCATATAAGGGCACCCCGATTCTATAAAAGGGTGGAATAAAAAAGTAAAATGCAATTTCGTTATAAATTCAATTGATTGATTGATATTCGTCCGAATGAATTTAATGTCATTTCGTAATACCCAACTTAATGCCATTGGACTGTAACATTGGGATGTTTAGTGTTCATACAATTAAAATTGTACATGCAAATATATTCATTTTATTTCAAAAGTTATTGTAAGTTGTACCTACAAGCAGAAACCTCGACTTCCGTTTATCGGTGCGCCGGTTAGAGGGCCTTGGGTTAATATAAATGAACTTCAATCCCATTTGCAACATCAGTCTGAGTTGAAACTAAACCGGAGGAACACAAAATGGTGATCACTCTCAAGTCTGAATTTCGAAATATACCAACAAAGCATTTTACCGAAATCGAGAGACAAGGGCGCACACAAAAGGAGGGGGGGGGTACACGGGCCCGTGCCCCCCCCCCCCCATTCGAAAGGGGGGCCATCTCAAATGGTTCTCAAATGGGCCTCTACTCTTAAGACCGCCGAAGACTGTCTAAAATGAGCTAAAAAGACGATTAAAAAGACCAGGATGAGGAAAGCCCATCTCGGGCCCCGGCAGGCCCAAATGAGGCCATACAATGTCCAGCGCAATCAAGGGGAAGGTGATAGATGTAAAATTTCAATAACCTTCAAAAGGTCCCAAAGGGCCTTCAACTGGCGTCAAAGGGCCCTCAAAATGCCTTAAAGGGCCCTCAGAAGGCCTAGAGGGCCCTCAGATGGCGTCAAAGGGCCCTCAAAAGGCCTGAAAGAGCCCTCAGCCGACAGCAAACGGCCCTCAGAAGGTCTTAAAAGGCGCCAATGGGCCCAGTGCCGGCGTCAAACGCCTCCAAAGGTGGCAAAGGGCCCTTAGCTGGCGTCAGAGGGCCCCCAGCTGGTGTCAGAGGGCCCTCAACTGGCGTCAGAGGGCCCTAAGCTAGCGTCAAATGGCCCATCCGAAGACCTCAAAGGGCCCTCAGCTGGGG